GGCGTCTAGGGCTAGACCTATATTTTATAGACCAGCGTATAGGGCGTCTAGGGCTAGACGTATATTTTATAGACCAGCGTATAGGGCGTCTAGGGCTAGACCTATATTTTATAGACCAGCGTATAGGGCGTCTAGGGCTAGACCTATATTTTATAGACCAGCGTATAGGGCGTCTATGGCTAGACCTATATTTTATAGACCAGCGTATAGGGCGTCTAGGGCTAGACCTATATTTTATAGACCAGCGTCTGGGGCTAGACCTATATTTTATAGACCAGCGTATAGGGCGTCTAGGGCTAGACCTATATTTTATAGACCAATCTGCACAAGATGGGTGATGTGGTCAGCATCACGCCGGCCACCTTTACTTCACAAATATTAAGTCAAGCTTACAGAAAACATCGTGCAGCTAGCTGTCTATAGATCTTAAATAACACAGAGGAGCAGCAGGCTAACAGGTTTGAATGTTGGGTTTTCACAGGGAGACCTGATTACAACTCATCTGTAGGGTGACACAAGTTTTTTTCTGCTAGGGCAAATGTGAACATCCTAACCTGCTTCTGCAAAAGTAAACATCTTACTTAACCAGCAGTTTATGGTGACTGCAAACATGCACATCCGAACCTACACAGTTCATCATCACTGCAAACCTGCACAGTTAATGGCCCCTGCAAAAATGCACTTCCGAACCTGCACAGTTCATCACTACTGCAAACATGCACATCCCAAGCTGCACAGTTCATCATCACTGCAAACATGTACACCCGAACCTACACAGTTCATCATAACTGCAGACATGCACATCCGAACCTACACAGTTCATCATAACTGCAAACATGCACATCCGAACCTACACAGTTCATCATAACTGCAGACATGCACATCCGAACCTACACAGTTCATCACTACTACAAACATGCACATCCGAACCTACACAGTTCATCATAACTGCAAACATGCACATCCCAACCTGCACAGTTCATCACCACTGCAAAAATGCACATCCAAACCTGCACAGTTCATCACCACTGCAAAAATGCACATCCAAACCTGCACAGTTCATCACCACTGCAAAAATGCACATCCTAACCTGCAGTTTATCACTACTGCAAACATGCACATCCCAACCTGCACAGTTCATCACTACTGCAAACATGCACATCCAAACCTGCACAGTTCATCACTACTGCAAACATGCACATCCCAACCTGCACAGTTCATCATCACTGCAAACATGTACATCCGAACCTACATAATTCATCACTACTGCAAACATGCACATCCCAACCTGCACAGTTCATCACTACTGCAAACATGCACATCCCAACCTGCACAGTTCATCATCACTGCAAACATGCACATCCCAACCTGCACAGTTCATCACCACTGCAAAAATGCACATCCCAACATGCACAGTTCATCACCACTGCAAAAATGCACATCCCAACCTGCACAGTTCATCACTACTGCAAAAATGCACATCTCAACCTGCAGTTTGTGGTGACTGCATTAGCTATGCAGCACTAAATAAGGCCCCCCCCCCCTCCCTATACAGCTCTTAAAAGCAGTAACAACAGTTTAAAAAAATATGTATATACATTATCTGAGATATATAAGAGAAACAATACTGCTTTCAAGTACGTCGATACCTCATTATAAGAAAGAAGAATCAATCTTGTGTCAGTTTTCCAGTACAGAAACCTGATACTGCATAATTTATTTCAACAATATATTTTACTATGTGTAAATACACAAATACAAAAAATCATCACAAAAGACCAGACAATAACTAAAAAAAAAAAAAAGACTTATAAACATGATTATAATTATTTCAGTTATCACCACTTTCAGTCTCCTGCTCTTAAAGAGGTCAGGAAATACTTATTTTATTACAGATACAGAGACAAGGAACACTTTATAAGGAACAACACAAAGGATGATGAAAAGTGCGCATTTAAATATATTATATGGGACAAATGGTGAAAGCCCAACAGCCTTTGGACAAATGATAACAGACATCCAGTGACACCTAGACTAACAGCGATACATTGGTACCTCGGTATATGTTTGCTTTGGTACATATCCTGTTTAGACGTGAACAAGTTTGCTTGCGAACGGCCTTTGTAATACGACTTGTGTGCTATCCTTGCTTACTGCTCTTGAGACAAGAGTCACAGATAGATTTCAATGATGCTGCAGAGAAGCACCACCTTAGAGAAGCTGGAACAAGCCATAATAGCATTGTTTGCAATGAACAGACAAGATAGATTTCAATGATGCTGCAGAGAAGCTGGAACAAGCCATAATAGCATTGTTTGCAATGAACAGACAAGATAGATTTCAATGATGCTGCAGAGAAGCTGGAACAAGCCATAATAGCATTGTTTGCAATGAACAGACAAGATAGATTTCAATGATGCTGCAGAGAAGCTGGAACAAGCCATAATAGCATTGTTTGCAATGAACAGACAAGATAGATTTCAATGATGCTGCAGAGAAGCACCACTTTAAAGAAGCTGGAACAAGCCATTATAGCATTGTTTGCAATAAACAGACAATGTCACATTTCTGAAACATCCTAAGGAGAAGACAGAAGCAAAGTTTTGTGGACAGACTTGTAGTAAATGTCAACAAACCTGATGAGCCTCAACTATTTCCAAGTAAGGAAAATACAGAAAAAAAGGAAAACCTTAAAATTTCAGATTCCTGAATTTTTTTTGGAAGGGTGGCTCTTCTTTCAAATAATGCACCTCCTCTTTTCCAGCATCATCCTACCTATAGTAGGCACTAGACTCTTCTCAGGAAGGTAAAGTGAGGTTACATTTTCATTTATTTCATCTAAATGCCTTTGTATTTATGTATTTTAGTAAAAGGAACCTTCTCCATATCTTCAGGCGTATTGGGCACACAAACAGGACTAGACCTATATTTTATAGACCAATTGGCATTTAGTGGGTGATGTCAGCATCACACCAGCCGCTTTTACTTCCCAGGACTTCTGTCTGGTACCCACTCCAGGCTGGGTCGACCTGGGAGCCAAGGTCATTTTTTAGTATTAGTAAGTTAAGATCCCTTTTCCACGCTTTTAGGCGCATCAGGTATATGGGAAAAGCACCCACATTTTCACAGACCAATCGGCACTAGGTGGGTAATGTGGTCAGCATTATGCCGGCCGTCTTTACTTTCCCAGGAAAGCCATCCTGGTACCCATTTTAGGCTGGGTCGACCTGGGAGCCAAGGTCATTATTTAGTATTAGGCAGCATATAAATTATTTTATACAACCCATCAATGTATAATGTGTCAATAACAATAGGATTTGTTGTTATTCACATGGATTATTTAATGAATCATTCTTCCCTTATTTCTTATGGGCAAAATTTATTTGGTATATGTCCAAGGATCTGGAATCGGTTAAGAATATATACCAACATACCACGGTAACCCATTCTAGAATCACATTCCTTAGCCTAAATTTTCTTTAGCAGAAATGTGATTTCCCGCAAGTTTCCACTATGTGTAGGTTGGCATTATGTTAGCGTACACACTCAATAAAACATTCTTTATCAAAATCCTTATTTGTTAGCAGAGTTAGAAAAGAGTGAAAAATAGCTTTGTTAGCACCTCCCTTTCCAGTCGGTAACTCGTCAGCCAAGGTATCACTGTAACTGATTTAACTCTTTCAATCCCAAGCAGTAATTACTTTTATTTCTTCCATAAAAATGGCAAGAATTTATTATTTTCACCAAAGACAGACAGAAGGAACAAACATTTTATGTGAAACCACACAGCAGATAATAAACATTCAAATGATGAAAGCCCAACAGCCCTTGAACAAGTGATAACGGACATAATTAATTAATTAAACTAGTTCAGCCAGGGTATTACTTTAATTTCTTCCATCATAAATGATTTGTTACACATAAAATAAAGACATATTTAGGCGTCAAGAACTTCAACACAGACACTTTGGTACAGACAATGTTAAACTAACAATTTGGATACAAGGGTTTCATTAACAACTATCGTGACAGAAGACAGAGCATGTCTTTGTGCAATGACCAACAAATATGCAGTGAGTTGCAAAGAACAATGACATAATTAGTAAGATATTATGAAAGCCCTCATTACCAGAAAGAAATAGAACTGTAATTTGTCTGTTTTCATGAATGGTTGGTTCTCGATACCACGGTCAAAACCAATTTATGGCAGACTGCTGCCAAAATGCCTGCAGCTGGGATTGAAACCAGGCACCCCCAGCATTACAAAGAGACTTCACAATGCAACAGATAAACAAAAAAGTTTGTTTTGTTTTGTAGATTAACTGGCATCTGGTGGATGAGATAGTCAACATTATGCCGCCGCCCTTTACTTTCCAACATGTCAACTGGTACCAATGTTAGGCTGGCTCAACTTGCTGATATATATCTAACACAGGGAAAACTACCAACTGAGGATTACACATAGACCCCTTTAGGGGTTAGCTAGTGCACTCCCTGGGAAGCCACCAATGCCGGATATATAATTTCAATTATTACTTTAGTATACTTTCTTACAGAAGAGCGACTGGTGGAGTGATTAAGAATGCTGGGTTCTCATGGGGAAGAACCAGGTCTGACTCCTCTGTAATGTTGCGATTCATTTCTGTCAGGGGCACACACAAAACAGATCCCAGCCTGCAGTCTGTGGTGTCAGCACCAGCCATGCGGCCCTAAATCCTCTGGCTCAAAGATCCCTCTGCCTGCACTGCAAGAGTGGTAAATTAGGCAGTAATGGCAATACTTTCTTCTGCAGTTCTATTTACACTGTATCAGCAACATGAACATTTGTGATCTTTCAACACTTACATATATAAATGTACATAACATTTCTGAGGTAAACCTTTATCACTTTATATTGAGCTGGTTTACTCAAATACATCTTATAAAAAGCGCAATGAGCCGGGTTCGTAGAAATGAAACAGTTAAACAAACAGCCATGGGAAATTGCTGTCCAAACAAAATTATCTACAATTTAAATCTTGGAAATCTGCAGTAAAATTCTGAACTTCTTGGCTCTCGTCAACTTCCTCTGCTCGTCTCTTTGAGTCGAGATCTGGTCTTTCTTTCCACAGCTGCAGCTGTGCGACAAGAGGCAGTCCCAGAGCAATTGTCAATGTTTTCTCTTCGGTTGGTCCCTTGCACATGACTGTTACACTGATTTTCATGGGAGACTGAAATATTTGATTACATGTGAAATTTACATTAAATCTGACATTTACATTCACAAAATCTAAGAGCTGTTCTGATCATAAATAATGACTAAAATATACTTGTCAAATGAAAACATTTTGATTATCTATGTGCATCTGATAAAATTACGTCACACAAGATGGCGGGGTGGCGACTGCTGTTAACCACAACAAATTGATTCTGTTGGTTCATTTACTAACATTAAGTGATTTCCTGTGATTCTGCTGTCTGCAGGATCCTCGCTGATGCTACGGAGCTATGTGCATTGTGCTGAGATACTCCTGTGTAAGCGTCAATTGCCATGTGGTTAATTTTGTCTGGTAAAGGCAGATGACCCCAAGCGAAGGAAAACAAGCTCAAGCTGGCGTGGCAAGCATGATTGTCAAAAACGCAAGAAGCGATCTGGGCAAAGGCAGAAATGACTAAAGTGTGACAGGTTCGGGCTCAAACAAACATAAATTCTACATTGGAACTGAGTCAGTCGAACTCATTCTTGACCGTTAAATATAGCAGCAGACATCATCGCTCCACAAGAAACAAACTCAATGATAAAGAAATAAGGTTTACTGGCTTCAAAACATTTTACAACAGAAAACACCATGGACAAGCTATTCTCCTATGGAACAACATCATGGCAGCTCTAGTAGATATGTCTATATGGGCAGTGAAAATGTTCAAATGCTTGCTGTATGTGTACAGGTAACACCACAACCATGTAATTAACATGTATGTCTGCAACCAAAGTATTATGGGTACTTTTTCCATGGCGTTTCTACAGTGAAACAAGCCAAACCATGGGCCAGGTGATATTCTGTGGTGATTTCAATGCCAGAGGAAGACAGTGGGAAAACATCCACTCTAATCGACAAGGTGAGGACCTGGAGGAGGCACTGGTACAGACTGATGTTTTATGTCTACATGATAGAAGAACTAATTGACTAGCCCTGTTATACAGATAGTGTTATTGACTTCGCTCGTGTCACCCTAACTGGCCTCCATATGTCAATGGGATGTCCTTGGCTACCATAGCAGTGACCACCTTCCATGTATAGTGCTGCTAATGAAACGCAAACTACTAACCCACCTGCTACAAAGAAACTTTATCTATGAAAATACTGGCAGCGACATCACTAGCAGAATCACAAGAGCAGCTAATCAAATCACCTGATAAAAGAAGCCCAGATCACAACTTCCATGGTGGAATATGGAAGTGGAAATATGCTGGCAAGCAAAGAGGCAGGCTGATACGATGATCACCAAGGCCAGAAAGAGTCTGGCTGCAATGAGAGTTTTGGCTGCTGTGTGTGGTCCACAAAGGCTGCTAGTCATCATCTACCAGGGTTTGTCTTCTCTGTCATAGAAAATGCACTGGCAATCCTCACTCTCAGCAAGACATAAATCGACAGACTGAAGAAGGTATAAAAGGAAGCAACGCGCAACATACTTGGCTTCACCAAAGACACATGTAGAGCAATGGGATACTTACTAGATTTTCCAGATATAAACAAAAGGTTTGAAATGCGCCAAGCATGTGCCTACCACAAAATCTGTGAGGACTTTACGCACCTACTGCATGATGAACTAAACACATGTAAAGGCAACAGACCTAAACGAGACCAGTCTCGGTTTGGCTGGGCAGAACTTCAAGGGTTATTTTATTCCAACACATAAACCTTGAAGAGGAATGGATACCTACATCAAATGAATGCAAACAGCACTTTTTATAACCATGACAAGACAGTGACGTGATTTGGCGCCACCAAGAGTTCATGCAGAAGTGAAAGTATTGGTGGAGGAACAACATCACCAGAAGATGCTGTTATAAATACAGATGGTTTTATGATTCGTCAGAAGCGAAATGCATGGGCTTTTACGGCAAGAGCTAAAGGAAAAGTTATCGAAGAAAAACAGTGAAGCCTCTGCTTCTACCACCAGCAGCATGACAATGGAGGTTATGGCTGTGACAAAGGCCCTAAAATGGCTGAAAACTCAGGAATTGACCAATGCATATTTGCTCAGTGACTTAATGAGCATGCTACAGAAGATCAAGCTGAGGTATATACATAAACAGTGGCTTTATCTGATAAGCATAGAGGATTTCATAAAATCTCCATTTTTGTTCCAGGAGGGTATATTGGTGTAAAAGGCAATGAGAGAGCAGTTGCCCTGGCTGGCAATGCTACTATCAGGAATGGGCCATCTATGAACAGGAGAAACATCGTCAATACGATACAAGAGACTAAACACTGAAGCTTTCAGTTTAGTTGAAAAAGATTTTTCACTGAATTTATTGCATACCCAGGGTATCCCAACTGGAACAGTGAGACAGGCAAAGCATGCAGAAGCCACCCATCGTTACATCAACCAGAATAGAATGGGAATTGTTAGCCTAAAAACAGTTGCAGACATACTCAGGAGGAGATCGGAGCACTTATGGTCATGTCTGATGTGCAATGAAGAAGATCTTTAAATGAACAATTTGTTTAAATGGATAATAAAAAAACTTGAAAAAAAAAAACTTTTTGTGCTCACAAATTAGAAAGAAAAATAGCACCGTAAGTGCTAGTAAAGTAAGTCTGTAAAACTGTATGCGCCTGAAAGAGTTAATATATAGGAATAGCACCATATGTCTGATATTCCTCAAGGTGTCAAAAGGATCTTTAATTTACTGATTAAAATTCTTACCTTCAGCCGCTGTATGTTGTTAATAACAACATAATTTTTAGAAAACCTGCTGTTTTTGCTCTCAGATATGGTCAGAATCTTTGCCTTCTCTGCAACATCCTGTAAAATGCCAGCAAATGATGTGAATACTGTATGACCTTAGGATTATACTGAATACTGTATGACCTTAAGATTATACTGAATACTGTATGACCTTAAGATTATACTGAATATTGTATGACCTTAAGATTATACTGAATACTGTATGACCTTAAGATTATACTGAATATTGTATGACCTTAAGATTATACTGAATATTGTATGACCTTAAGATTATACTGAATATTGTATGACCTTAAGATTATACTTAATATTTTTTGACCTTAAGAATATACTGAATATTATATGACCTTAAGATTATACTGACATCCCATAAATTAGACCCAAATGTCCAGGAAGAACAGCATTATGAGCAATGCACACAAATAATTCTTCAAAGCAATGTTTCCCCGATGTGAATTTGAACAAAGAAGACACAAACAATAGACTGCACAATTTATTGCCTGGCATATTTCGCTGTATCTCGTCAGGTGCATACTACAGTAACAAGTGAATAAATGAAGCAAATAGCTGAATCCTAGAAACTGAAACACAAATTCGAGTACATTCTACACTGTCTGTTTCACCAAGGTAACCTTAAGGAAACTACCATTTCTTTCTGCCTACAGAGATCCGGTTTTAACCGGTGGATCGCGGAAGCTTCCGCGTATCTGAGTAATCTACGGTTGGCCGATTTGTAAATAATTCGAAATGCATCGTCCCTGTTAATGATGTGCCCGGAATTTAGAATGTGGCACGCAATTGCTGATGATGGATTTTGTCGACCAGTCACCTGATTCGTTGTTGTTGAGGAACTTTTACTGTTGTGCACTTCGAACATCAATTTCAGCTTTCTTAAGCAGTCTTACCGCCAGATTGACGGTGTGGCCATGGGAAGCCCTCTAGGCCCTATTCTAGCGGACATCTTTATGGCACACTTGGAGGAACAGATGTCCATTGATATTGATAGTTTAGTAGTCTACCGACGTTACGTCGATGACATACTCATCATCGCCACAAACAAACAACAGGCAGAGTCGTTTCACACAAAAATGAACCAAATGCACAAAAACATCACAGTGTCTTTACAACATGAAAGTAGCAACACCTTGGCCTTTTTAGACATTTTAATGAGACGTAGAGATAATGGCACTATTGAAAGGTCAGTTTATCGTAAAGACACTTGGACAGGCCAGTACATCCATTTCAACAGTTTTGCACCTTTGCAGTACAAACGTGGTCTAGTGAGGACATTATTCCACCGTGCTAGAAAGATTTGTTCCAGCGAAACTCTACAAGCTGAATTCGAAACGATTAAACAAACACTGCTTTCTAATGGATATCCAGGTGGTTTTATTAAGTGCCATTGCCAGCCACCTAAACCAGTTACCTTAGAAATGTCGGTGCCAAAAAAAACAAGTTTATATACATCTAACGTTTCGGGGAGATGACGTCATGCAACGTGTATATGACCGACTCAAAACAGCAGTCGGTCAAACCTTTTACGCAGCCATGCCCGTTATGAGATTCAAAACCACCACGATTCCTACGCCACCTGTAAAAGAACCAGTCTCGACGTACGCCAGATCTAACTGTTTATACCAATTTAAATGCACCTGTAACGCTGCATATGTGGGCAGAACCGATCGACGACTGGAGAAACGGGTTGCTGAACATATTCCACTATGGTTGGTAAAAGCAATGCAAAACACTAACACCTCAACAACAACGAATCAGGTGACTGGTCGACAAAATCCATCATCAGCAATTGCGTGCCACATTCTAAATTCCGGGCACATCATTAACAGGGACGATGCATTTCGAATTATTTACAAATCGGCCAACCGTAGATTACTCAGATACGCGGAAGCTTCCGCGATCCACCGGTTAAAACCGGATCTCTGTAGGCAGAAAGAAATGGTAGTTTCCTTAAGGTTACCTTGGTGAAACAGACAGTGTAGAATGTACTCGAATTTGTGTTTCAGTTTCTAGGATTCAGCTATTTGCTTCATTTATTCACTTGTTACTGTAGTATGCACCTGACGAGATACAGCGAAATATGCCAGGCAATAAATTGTGCAGTCTATTGTTTGTGTCTTCTTTGTTCAAAATAATTCTTCTTCTTCAGCATTCTGAGCCCTTGAGGTTCACAGCTGCAGGTATCACCTGCCTCCACTCATCTCTCTGGTTGGCATTCTCTTTCCAGTTGCCGACTCCTATTGTCCAGGGTTGTTTATTTAAATCAGCAACAACCTGAACAATTAGATATCTGTTTTGTGATGAAAATGAGCTTTTACAAAGGTGGGGGTGTCAGCCCAGCTCTTCAACACTCAATGGAGGACCAGGCTGCCTCTCTGTTATCATCATGTAGCAGGTCCTTTGCAGAACGTCTGCCTGAAAGAAACTCAGTCTCTCGCCAGCTCTCCCGCCTCAAGTACTTTCATACTCAAGGAAACACTTATATCCTGTGCTCATCTTCCTGTTGGTCGGCCCCTGCCCCTCCTTCCTGGTACCATGCTTTCTGCTATTATTTCCTTCAACCGGTCGTGTCGCTTGATGTGACCAAAATATTTCAGCTTCCGAGACAGGATGCTGCTTATTAGCCAATCTTCCTACCAATGTAGTTATCTTTATTTACTAACTTATGTTGCTGTTGTGTGTGACCGTAAGTACAGATGGTAGTAAGTCGCATAAGTTGTAAGCCATGGAGAAAGTGTGCAAATGTTCATTAACTGATGCCTATACAGAAAAAAACTAAAACAACGAGAGAACCACTAATGCTGCTAATGGACAGAAGTAGTCAGATTCCATAGAATCAGCAATAGCAAAAAAGATAGTAAAAAAAAAACTGATATGAGAATAGCTCAAACATTCTTTCTTTGGCATACAAAAGAAAAACACGGAGAAGAGAAAAAGAGACAGGGATGAGAACTATGAAAATATAAAAATCAGCCTTAATGTGGATTTAAAGAAACAGTGAGCCGTAGGAAACAACAGACAGGACAGCTGGGTATGAGGTGGTTGAGGGACTATGCTCTGATGGGAGACTTCTTCTTCTTCAGCGATCTCTGGTCATGCACATAATCCACTGTGGGTCATAAACTGGGATGTCTTTTCAAGGTCTCTTAGGTTCCCCCAAAGCTTAGTTGTCAGTTCTACTGGGTGTTGCCATATGTCGCTCCGCAGCTCCGCCAGGAGAGGACAGTCTTGCAGGACATGTTCTGGAGTCTGTTCAGCACGAAGGCACCGGCAGAGAGCTGTTTGGCTCATACCTAATTTATGTGAGTGTTTATTGAGTCTGCAGTGTCCAGTGCGTAAGCGAAAAACTGTGACTTGGTCTGTTCTGAGACAAAGAGCAGAAGAAATCTGAACACTTGCCATAATCTTCAGGAAAGGAAAATCAAGCAGATAGTTACCATATCACATAATTATGTTATGATACGGTATATAAAAGCTACATAAATCAGACAAACATTAAAATGAATTATCTAAAAAAGAAATAAAAAAAGCAATAAAAAAAAAGTTAAATGTTTAGCCATTATTTTACCAGTAACGTATAATAATATCTACCCAGTTTATTACTGCAATTCTTTTTAATATTAAATTTACCAATTTACATAATGCCATTAAAGAAGCAGAGGACTTTGCACCTGCCTGTCTTTTCTGTGGTCGACCCCTTTGATTTATTTTTAAACTGATGAAGGCTCCAAATATCTTCTGCTTCTTCTTCTAGACTCTTAGGGTAGTTTCATTTAATTATAAGGATGTGTTTTTTTAATGAAATTTAATTTTTAAAATGTTATGAACACATTTTTTACAATGCAAAAGGGTTAATGCTTGTCAAAGTTGGATGTTTTGAGCCACCAACTCAACAAAACAGCACATTGTAAGGTCAGTGAAATGGTTTCAAAAATGCAATCCTCAGTGTTTAACATTTGGCATACAAGTCAGTCAGTCGGATCTGCAAAACAGATGTGCATGCAAAATTTGAGCTCTGGAACAAGACTGAAGTCCAGAAGTGGATGTACAACCAGAACTTTTAGCCAGAGAATGCCAAGAAAAAGAGTAATAGTAACAAGATTCAATTCCCATGGTGGGCGGATTAGAAAAAGACCGTTCTCATGATTTTAAGACAGCAGTACGAGAGTTGCACGTGGACAAGATTGGAGCATCACCACTTAATTCTTTCAGTCCCAAGGAATGCACCATATGTTCCTATGTAGAAGCCTAATGAACTCAAGATGCTATAATTTTACATCTCTCTTTACTACCCCGTGGATCTCTTATGCTAAATCCCCTGGGATAAAAGAGTTAATAGTCCTACAGTTAGCAGGGATACACTGTAACCAACATCCACCGGGGAGACAGCACAATCATATCTTTAAATAGCTTCATAATGGAACAATTTAGATAAATAATGAATGACTACTCACAACAGGAATGGCACTAACAAAAGCAGTGCAACTCTGAGTTGGGCCAGGGTCCAGAACTAAAGTGTAGATCTTGAGAACATTAGAAAACTCTTGCTGGAAGTCCAGTTTCACTGTCACAGTAAAATCTGAAAATGGGAACACCAGCTCTATGGGGTCAGGTTTTCCTGTTGAGGTAATAAAGAGAACAAAACAACAATTAACAGGAATATGAGATATCAGTTCCTTGTTGTTGAACTTCTACCATAGGTCTAGATGATAAAAATGGCCTATAGTGTTATGTACACTATGCATACATGTCTCTAGTATAGAGTACCTTGATTATATATATATATATATATATATATATATATATATATATATATATATATATATATATATATATATATAAACACACACAATTGGCACTCTGTGACTGGCAGCCTTTATTTCCCATGATATTTTCTAGTATCAAATTTTAGGCTATGATGATTCTGGAGCCTAGGTCAAATGTGGTATATTTTTTTAAATGGAATAATTACAAACAGGAAATTACCTAAGACCCCCCCCCCCAACTCAAAAGCGGAATGGGAATGTTCACGATGTTTGCAGTTCGCTAACCTATCAAAGTTATCAGAGGGGTTAATGTTTCAGGGAGCAAGCTTGATAATATCCAAGATCTCTCTTTACCTCTCTGCTGGGCATCTCCTCATTAAGGAAAGATCAACCATAGTTACTGCTGTGAGGAAGCCTGCCTAGGACTACCAACTTCCAACTCTGCGAGCAAGCCACAGCCATCTCTCCACAATGATGGCAGACAATCAACACCCAAGTTTTGCACTCACTGGACAGCTCAGAACACACTCATAATGAGTGTGTTGCTGGCCTAGTGCGATGAAACCCAGTTACTACCAGCTCCCAATATTTCAGATCACACAAGAATAAACAACTTGAGTCAACATTTCAGCTGACCTTTCAAAAAGAGCACTCCATTTTATGAAGGATTAGGTTATGCGAGAAGTGCCTGCTAAATTTAAGCTAAGGCTGTTAACAATGAAGCAGAAACAACACCATCAGAAAATTATGTAGGGTATGCCGGAAGTGCAAACAGCCCTAACAATTTCTTGAAGGCTGTAATCGTTGGTCTGTCATGAGTTTATGAGTATTACAAGCCAACTGCCTTCACTGTCTGTGTGTAGGAAAAGATGATGTCATAAACCTGAATTTTAGTCCTGCGAAGTCATAACACAGAACATGATTGCTCAGTGGTTCCCCCTTATCAAAGAGCCCTCCCTGGCAAGTTAAGGATCCCCTTTAAAAAAAAAATCAACATAACAAATTGCTATCAGTGCCAAATGTGGACACTTACCTCCTCTAATGAATGTAAAATTATGACAACAGAGATGAAATACCTTAGAAGAACTGCAGGAGTTTCAAGGAAAGACAGAATACGAAAATATGAAATCAGACGAATGCTAGGAATACAGCCAGTCTTACAGGTCATCAAAGAACAACAAATGAAGTGGTTTGGACACCTAACAAAAATGCCCTGGTACTCTCTACCACAGCGAGCCACACTAAAGCGTTACAACGGGTATAGAGCAAGCGTAAGACCTTGGAAAATATGGAGCAATGGCGTTAAGAACAGCCTTAAAGAAATGAACATCAGTCTTAACAGTGCTCTTGGCAGAGCTCATCAACAAATGTTACATCACTCCCCGACACTTGACTAAAGTACAATGTGGAAGAAAAGAAGAAGAAGAACAAAACAAATTTGACCTAAGCTCCAGGATCACATAGCTTATGACAAAATATAAGAACAGAAATACAAACATTTTTTATTTTTGTATTTCTTTTCTTGTGACTGGTAATGATAATCATCACTGATAATCATACCAGAAATCTTACCACTGACATGTTTAACAACTTAAAATTCAACTACCGTGCACTTCTCTAATAAAAATAAGTAGCTTCCTTACTGTGTGCATTATCCCAAAGCAACTGTCTAACGTTAAATGCTTCTGTATGGCCTCTGTAGACAATAGGATCTGCAAATGATCTGTGTACTTCCAGCAGATTCGTTCTGATCTCAGGAATCTGTTTGTATCTAGATTCATGATTTACTAGTGGGTCCTTGCTGATTGCTATAAAAGAGAACAAATGGGAATAGATTAAACATTTTTTACAAAACTAAAATACAAACAATTTGAAAAATTTCTTTGAAAACAGTTAAGTGGCAAGTTCTTTTGTCTTTAACATTAAGCATCCTTTGTGTGTTGTGTAGGTTACAACAGTCTCCCATTCAAATCCTTCACTCCGATCTATTGCATGCCTCTCTCTTGATGGAGTTTAACCCGGAATTCTGAGCCTCTCGCAATAATGTTCTTGTTAATGTTTCCCTTGGAGCACTTTTTTCAGACTATTTTAGTGCTTGTTTAGTCATTTGTTCTTGTTGTGTCACAGTTTCATCCTCCATAGTCTTTCTCTGATTGCAATCGATACAGGTATTTGTCCAGTCATTTTTCTGATCTCCTCACTCTTTTTGAATTCATCCCAATTTATGTACATGATGTTTCTCAAGACATTTATTTTCAAACGCATTTAGCTTTCATTCCATATCTTTGGTAGTTCTCCAACTTTCACTGCCGTATGTTAGAATCGAAATACCATAAGAATTAAAGATTCGTAGTTTGGCCTTGGAGCTCCATATTTTGTCAAGGTTTTTAAAGACTGCTATTGTTTAGCCATAATTTTCTGTGCTGTATCTCCTTGAGAGTCAAAATTGCTACCCAAATAGATTAAATGATCAGTAATTTTTATTTTTTGTGTGTTTTTGGTTTGTTCTCTAGCATGATATATACATGATCTGTTGTTGGCATCTTTAATATATTTGTTTTCTCATAACTTTCTTGTAGTTATATTTTTATGCCGCAGACGACAAATTATCTTCTTTTTTTTCTTTATATATCCTTGTTTTTTTTTTCCTTAACAGAACAATATAATCTACAAAATCCAGATCTTCTAGTGGTCTATTCTCTGCCCAGTCACTGCCTGCATCGCCTTTGCAACATTTTTTCATTTTCCAATCAACAGTTACTCCAAACAACAAGGGAGATAGAATGCAGCCTTTTTTTCACTCCAGTTTCCACCAAAAACCAGTCACTTAGACCATCTTCAGTGCGCACTGCACATTCTGAACCATCATATAAATTTCTAAAAATGTGACTGGCATGCTGTAGCATTCTAAAATTCCCCATAGTGAAATTCTATGTAAACTGTCAAAGGCCTTCTTGAAATCAAGAAAATTCAGGATAAGAGGTTGCAGCTTCTCAATGTGTTCTTCTAGAAAATGTCTCAGGGTATTTATTTGATCAGACAACTTAATCCAACTGCCTCTTTAATTCTATTGAGGATTATTTTGCAAAAGGTTTTTTACACAACCGATGGTAAGGCAATTCCTCTCCAACTACTACAGTCATTAAGATTTCAGTTTTTTTTTTTTCAAGTTTCAAAAGTATTCCTGTCTTCTATAGTTCTGGGACTGTTTGATCTTCCCATATTTTGTTAAATAATTCTAGCACTTGTTGGATAGTTGTCTTATTTGCTACTTTGAGCAATTCTGCTGTAATATTATCATCATCTGCCGTCTTCTTATTTACTAAGAAATGTATTGTCTTTTTTTATTTCCATAACATTAATCTGCAAGTCATTTATGGAAAATTAGGTCCTTTTTTCCACTTCTTCAAACTTCATTAAGTCTAGTCGGTCAGGCCTGTTTAAGGTCTTCTTGAAACATTCTGCCCATCTTTTCTTCTGTTCAGCATCAGATGTGAGCACTGTGCCACCTTAGCTTTTTACTGGACCACCTCGTGGTGTGAATGTTCCAGTTGGTTAGTCACAGCGTCTAGTTTAAGAATGGAGGTGGAAGCAGTCGCTGCTGCCTTCTGTTGGCTTGAGAATCAGCTGTACACACATGCCGTGATTGTCACTGACTCACAGAGCATGTTGAGAAGGTTGGAGACAGGTATGCTCCATGCAGAGTGGCAAGCATCACTTCAGAGGTTCCAGATAGCTAATATCCTTTGGATATTCTCTTCATGTCATGCTAGAGTGTTGGGAAATGAGAAGGCAGATAGACTGGCCGGTTCTGCACCACTTGGTGGTGAACTGATGTATGATAAGCTAGATGTTGTGAGGGCCATCTGGGAGCCAGTGAACAATGCGGAAGCACAAACAGATCATAACGGTCTGAGGAGAATAGCACTGCGAGGAGTTACCAAGGAAGCTGGCCGACACTCAAAACTCAAGGGAAGGGAGAGACGGATAAACAATCAGACAGTTACTGGTGCCATCAGAATTAAGACTCTTCATTTACTGTTGAAGATGGAGACGGAGCGCTTTTTGGTGTGCCCTGAGTGCTATGATGTTGATTCTTAATTCAACATAAAGTTAGTTCTCTTAATGTATTGTTAGGTGTCTTTCTATTTCCAACCTCAGCTGCCTGTTCCCCTTCTTGAGCCAGTTTATCCACATATGCTCTTTTATCTTTTCTTACAGCCCTTGTTACTTGTCTTTTTTCCCTATAATCTTCTTTAGCTCAAATTTCCTATTGTTTTGTCTTAACCATACATATCACAAGTTTGGCCACCTTTCTATCCTGAATGCACTGCCAGGTGTCATCACTTATTCATAGTTTTCTATAACTCTTTTTTAATCCTGCACTACTAATAAATTATATACTTTATATAAAAGTAAAATAAAAGTAAAGGACTTTTTTCCATGCCTTCATTTGTACTGGGCACATAGGGCTAGACCTATATTTTATAGACCAATTAACACTTGGTGAGTGATGTGGTCAGCATCACACTGACTGCCTCTGCTTCCCAGAACTGCAATTGGTACCCACTCAAAGCTAGGTCGACCTCGGAGTCAAGATCGTTTAAAAAAAAAAAAGTCTGGCTTCGTCAGGACACGAACCCACGACTTTCCGATCCGCAGGCAGGCATCTAGCCGCCAACTATTCTAAACACGACAATTTAAAAGACAGTCTAACCTTCACGAAGATTTTTAAAGACAGTCTCAATGTCACAACGCTGGCTCAGGATGTTTTTCAGGTGACTCACAAGTATACCATACTGTTTTCTTTCATATGCAGCTAATCCATACGACCTAGACAACAATTAAAAAAGACACAAAATAAATCTACCTCAAATAACCAACCTTTATTATAACATATCCAACAATTACAAATTCTTTCAATTCTATTTTCCCACTGAAATGACACCACCCTGAAACAGGTCCTCTGCAGAATGTTGCTCTCATCATGGAAAACAGGCAAGCCAATCAGTTTTCTGCCTCTTTCTTCTTCTCAGCATTCCTCAGCTGTAAACTCCAGCGGAAAGTTCTGGATGTTTGTCCAAATCTGGACTTAAGTCTTGTTCCAGAACTTGAACTCTGACTGCACATCCATTTTACAAATCTGTTTATTTCTTCTTCTTCTTTGTGTTCACCAGCTGTACACTCAGGTAGAAAGTTCTGGTTGTTCGTCCACTTCTGAACTGCAGTCCTGCTCCAGAACCTGAGTGTTGTGTGTGCATCAGTTTTACAGATCTGATTCACTTGAACCAGACTGTTGGTTCCTTGCCTCTCAGGCAGATGCACTCCAACTTCAAAGGAAGCTCCCCAATTAGTCGACTCTTACGACATGCTTTTGGGTAGGCAGAGGGTATATTCCTGTTTTCCCCACGATGGGGCCCCGGAACCCACAAGGGGAATCTGTTTATTTGTATGCAGACTTCTGGTTTCTTGCCTCTCAGGCATATACGCTCTTATTTCGGAGGATAAAGTAAATAATTAGTTAACTTTCACGATTCAGGTAGGCAGTGGGTCTATTCTATATTTCCCCCTCATCGTCATGGATAACAGCAGCCCATTCCAATAAACAGATACTAGACAAAACGCAAAATAGAAGTCTGCGTACAATTCTGGGAGCCATAAAATCTACACCTATTGTAGAAATGGAAAAGGCAGCCAACATCATCCCCTTAGAAGAAAGACGAAGGACAAAAGCAATTCTACATGCTGAAAAAATGAAGAGAATGCTAAACCACCCATTACACGAAAAATTGGCAGCCAGGACAAAAAACAGAATAAAGCGCACAAGCCTAAACCATCTAACGAAGGAATTTGGAAAGTCATTCTCTTCACTACTTAACCAACAATGTACACCTGAAGAGCTATCTTTCGATCTCTGGGACTCCGAATTATTGACACTCAATGTGTCAACATCCATCCCGAACCTGGGAAACAAAGATGCTGAGCCCGCTTTAGTGAAGAAAGCACTCACAATGGAACACCTCAACAACATGTTCCCACAGGACAGCTGGACAAGAATCTACACGGATGGATCAGCAAAAGAGGCAACTACGAATGGTGGGGCAGGTGTTTACATAAAACACCCAGATGCCACTACTGTGTCCCTAGCAGCCCCCACCGGACGAACTTGCTCTAACTACAAGGCAGAACTCTCAGCTCTATTGATGGCAGCACAGTATATGAACAATCTGCAAATCACCGCAGGCAGGATAGTTTTTCTCACTGACTCACTGTCAGCTATACAGGCCCTTGAGTCCAAACCTACCGACAGCACACTACAAAGTCTAACACAGGAACTTGCTATGTTGTCAAATAAGGCAGAAATTCACTTGCAGTGGATTCCGTCTCACTGCGGCATCAAGGCAATGAAAGCGCAGATGCTTTAGCCAAGGAAGGCAGTAACAAAACTACAGACCTACCAGCCACTATCTTTTCCAGAAGTCAAAACTCTCATTAAGAGAAAATCAGAAACAGATTGGAAAAACAACACTGGCTATGACTACGGAAAAGATTTTCTGAGGCACTTGAACAGAACAGACCAAGTCACAGTTTTTCGCTTACGCACTGGACACTGCAGACTCAATAAACACTCATATAAATTAGGTATGAGCCAAACAGCTCTCTGCCAGTGTCTTCGTGCTGAACAGACTCCAGAACATGTCCTGCAAGACTGTCCTCTCCTGGCGGAGCTGCGGAGCGACATATGGCAACACCCAGTAGAACTGACAACTAAGCTTTGGGGAAACCTAAGAGACCTTGAAAAGACATCCCAGTTTATGACCCACAGTGGATTATGCGCATGACCAGAGATCGCTGAAGAAGAAGAAGATATTTCCCCCAAAATGGGGCCACGGAATACAAATGGGGAAGTTCTCTGCCAATTATTACACCTGATGAACCTTCATACTCAAGGTGACTTTGATATTCTGTCCTCTGTCACGCAGGTCAAGCTCTGTCTCTACTTTCAGAAACCATACCTTTCATTATAGTTATTTCAATACCATTCAATACCAATACCATTCAATATGGCCAAAGTATTTCAACATTAGAGAAATTGTTTATAAGCCAATCCCTGTTGATTTTCATTTATGAAGAAGATAATGGCAACAGCAGAATTTTAAACTACAGTCATTATAAGCCTTGTTATGCTGACTGATTATAAAGCTTCTTCTGGTTTCTTTGCCAACAATGTCTCAACTCTGCCGTTTGTCTATATCTCTACAATAACAGGTCTTCCGCACATCTGTAAGATAAGTTACTTTCCTAACTGGCCAAATATTTTATAGGAATCGTTAGTGGGTTTTCATGATGTAAGTTATGACTCAACTCCTACACCTTTGTATTGCTTTTATTTAGGCCAAGCACACATATATCTGTCGTCTCCCCAAAAATTATGATTAGATAGTTGGAGGAGGAGGAGGAGGAGGAGGAAGAGAAGGAAAAGAAGCAAATTCAAATTCAAGGAGGCTACTTCGTGGATGTTACTAAATATTGTTTTTAATGTATTTTCGTAACAGTATCACAGAAGAATTAAAGGTCAACCTCTACACAGGACATTTTTAGAAACACTTGGGCATGAAAATAAACAAAGCTGAGGGAACTGGTAAGAGACTAAGTGGCATTATGACAAGTGGTAATGAGAGCAAATATATCTTCTTTTTCTTCCACTTTAGTCTTGTTTCAGAATCTGGGTGTTGCCTGAATATTTGTTTTACAAATCTGGCCTATTAGCATGCAGACTGTTGATTCCTTGCCTCTCAGGCAGGTGTTCTCTGACTTCGAAGAAACCCCCTAATTATTTGACTCCTATAACATGCTTGTTAGGGAAGCAGTGAGTCTGTTCATGTTATGCCCCACAATGGAGCCCTGGAACATACACCTTTGGAAAGTAATAAACAGATAATTATAAAGTAAGTATATATATATGTATATATATTTATATATGTGTATATATATATATATATATATATATATATATATATATATATATATATATATATATATATATATATATATATATATATATATATATATATAAAACATTAAACCAAAGATAATGGTTTATACCTTTGACAAGTCGAGTCAACGATTACATATTGTTAGTTAGGGATCCCATGCATTTATTAATCCTGGTATAAAAATTATGGATTCAGAATCAAGCTAAACTGACAGACCTCAAACATGCCAAGATCAAGTCCACTGAAACTGACTGACAGAGGTAGAGTGAACAGGTCAGACATTCAACAGTAAGGGGTGACCCAAAGAGACATGGTGTCATATGTTCTATCCAACACCAGTGTTTTTTCCTCATCTCTCAGAATAAAGCTGCATTTCAAACAACCAGAAAAATGTTGCAGAATGCTCACAAAACAGAAAAATCAGTACTACTTACGTCCCATAACACCAAATAGCATTTCCTTTCTCCACTACAACCCTCTCTGATGTAACTGGCTTGGTTTGTTCATTTTGCCTGTAATATACAGTTTGGATAAAACCTGCACTACTGTATTTAATGAAATTTAAAATTTACAGTGGGCCCAGCATTGTAAACAATATGCAGTTATCTAATCTTAGTTAAGTAGAATAACTTTTTCAGATTCCTGAAAAGAAATCATATTTACATGAGTAAAGAAGAGAACTATCAATGCATAAGTTCCCCTGTGTGGGCTCTGGGGCCCCATTGTGGGGTAAACACAAGAATACACCCACTGGCTCTTTCAAAAACATGTTGTAAGAGTAGACTAATTAGGGAATTCCTTCACAGTTGGAGTGCATCCGCCAAAGGAGCAAGAAACTAACAATCTGCATACAAGTAAGCCATTTCTGTAGAACGGATGTACATGCAACACTCAAGGTCTGAAACAAGACTGAAGTCCAGAAGTGGATGAACAACTAGACATTTTTGCTGGAGCTTACTGTCTGTGAACAAAAAAGGAGAAGATGAAGAATGCATAAGTTCAGAAACATCCACAGTTTTAGACACAATGTGTTATTCTGTTAAATCTGAAGGGGTGAACAGCTAAAAACTAGCAACATTATTTCACATTTTTAAATACCCCTTTCTTTGAGGTCTGTGAGTACATCATGCCACCATCTTATTTTTGTCACAGACCAATGCACCCGGTAGGGGATGTGGTCAGTAACATGCCAGCCATCTTGACTTCTCAGTTCCAATGTTAGGCTGGAAGGTTGTGGGAGTAAAGCTGACCTTAGACCTGCCGTACCCTATGTTTTACAAGTAAACTGTGTTTATAAGTAACGTTGCGGAGCCAAACAAGACGTGGTAGATAGTAATGAGATGTGTCAAATAAAGAGATTTTGAAACAACTGAGCAATTTTCATGCAAGGAAATTATGTTTGAAAAAAAAAGTTTTTTTATCTTTTTTTCTGCAGCAGCCTTAGAGCCCCAGGGAGGTGCACATGGGAGTCCTAAGGGCTTGCTTCCCTGAGTACCAGCTGGGAACTGCTGCTCTAGAGTATTCAACCAGTAAAAGTAAAGTAAAGAATCCTTTCATGAGCCTATTTCTTACAGACTGATCGGCTAGACATGTGATGTGGTCAACATCATGCCAGCCACCTTTATTTCCCAGGCATCCATTTTAGGCAGGGCCATTCTGGAAGCCAAGGTCATTTAAACCTCACATTCAAGCTCAAGCCTTCAGAGAAGCAGCCAAATGTTTAGCCACCATGCTACGACTGATAATAAACTATATAACAATATTATTTACTATAGTAATAGACTTGAATATAACACTGAACTATTGTAAATCATGACAATATTCTAAGACTCTAAACTATAACATTTAACATAAGATACCAGGACAAACCTTCATTATTTCACTAAACGAGGAAGTCACAGACCCGAACTGTGTTGTAACAATATTAGTTTGAAATTCAAACAAAAACTTACGATTTCCTGCAAATGTCTAATATCATACAACATATTTGTGGCTCCTGCTGCAGCAAGCTCTTGAAGATGCTGTCGGCGGACACACAAGGTTTGTAGTTGTACAATACAGGAGCATCAGTGGGCACCAGATAGCACTGGCTGGCAACTTCAAAGCCGTGGCCACAAAAATAAAAGACACAGTACACTCCGACGCCAACTAGCTTCCCGAACTCGTGTACAGATGCAATCATCTCTGCTTTGGTCAGGTTCAGCAGGGAAACCACCTAGTCACAAAAAACACAATAAAGTAAAAGGACCCTGTTAATGCTATTTTGTTACGAGCAAAATATGGTTATCCAGGACTTTTGTCTGGTACTAACTAAACTCAGATAAAAGTCAAGTTTCTCATATGGAGGTGTAGTGTTGGGATTCAAACTCATACCAATCACAAACATATTTATCCACGAGGAACCCACAACAGTCTTATGATGCATTAATATTCTACAAAGTTGTGTAGCGCCAGCCAATCTGTCCGCATGTTCATTTCCCAACATACTGGAATACCCAGAGAAAAGGGATCCAGGACAATGAGGGCATGGAACAGTGTCTGTAGGTAAAGGGCCTGTTATATGGGTTTGTCTAGCTGCATGCGCTGTTCAGCTACTCATTGTGGAAAAGTGACTTGCGATGTTCATAGCTTTATGATGTGACACTGACCATGACCTTACTTTCAGAAGATTTGAATTCATAACCCAGTGGTTAAGAGCAAGCCAATCTGTTTGCCTGTTCATTTCCTAACACATATGCGTAAAGCTGGAAAAAATATCACGGCCTTTTTATAAGCAAAAGCAGTTTCATTACAATGAGCGAAATCCAACAGAAACACACAATGTACACCATAAAATACAACTGTATAATCTTCCCAGGTTGGGTTAATGTTATGAATTTATTTTCTGCAGTTTACCCAGCAGGCTTCCATGCTATGCAACACACAGTTGGGAAACCAAGCACTGGCTGCACTCTTTTGTGTGTTCACTCCCAGAGCAATTACCGTAGTCCTTAGTTGATCAAAGTGGAGGAATAGGGCTCATTTTTTTTTGTTTCAATTAGTTGCCAAGATCTGAATTTATGAACAATGAAGAGCATGTTAGAGGTAACTGAGTAGGGAATTTTTTGTTAAAAATAAATTACTTATTTGTTGCTAGATTGTTACAAATGTTTAGGAAGTTCACTTACCTTAAAACCAAGAGACTGAAAAATATTAGACAGAGTCTGCACATCATACTTTGGTGCAGCCAGTGGGTTGGCACTACGATAGTCATAGTTGCCAATCAGCAGAGCAACTTTGTCAGTGGCTGTCAACATAGAAGATAAGTTCGCTTTTACTTATCAGACAAAAGATATTACACATACTTAATCAGCAGAACCTATGCACAAAAGTAGTAAAGTAAAACACCCTTTTCACGACTGTGACACATCAGAACATTATGTATTTATCACCTCTGCAGTAGCGGCAGGGTGGGTTTTTGATCCTGAGGATTTAGGGCTGCATGGCTAGTGCTGTCGCCATGGTCTGGACAGGCTGGGATTGTATTTTTGTCTCCAACAGAAACAAATTCAGAACCTTACTAAAAATGTGGACATTGGGCCTCCCATACGAGAGTTCAGCATTGTGATCCGTCCGGTCAGATGCTCTTCATAGGCATATAGTGCTAGATCTATATTTTCACGGACCAATCAGCACTTAATAGTGGATGTGAACACACAGGCCGCTTTTTCTTTCCAAGACATTACCTGGTGATTATCTAAAGAATCACCCCCCCCCCCCAAACTGACCTACAAAGTGGTAAATACAGCCAGAAAAGATAGTTAATGACTATAAATAACCCTATTTCACTATCCTACTTAAAGAAAATCCCCCTCCGGGTCCCCGGAGGAAATAGGACATTTTCATAAGCGCTCCTTTCCCATCTTAAGAAGCAAGTAATTTTGATGGTACCAGTAACAATCTGGTTGTATGTCTGTCGCCCTTTCTCTATAGTGTTTAGCGTCGGCCAGATTCCCTGTCACTCCTTGCTGCCCCATTCTCCTCAGACCATGATGATCTATTTGTGCCTCCACACTGTTCACTCGCTCCCAAAGGACCCTTACAACAACTGGCTTGTTAAGCATCAATTCACCACCAAGTGGTGCAGAACCAGTCAGTCTATTTGTCTGTTCAATTTTCAAAACACCAGCATAACCTGGAGAAAATATAGATAGGGTGCTCTCTACCCGAGTCCTCTAAAACAATGCTCGCTACTCTCACGGAGCATACCTGTCTCTGGTTTCTGTGAAAAAAAAAAGAATATCCTACTGCTTTAACAAGCATGTCATGAAAGGCAACTGATTAAGGACTTACTGAAATTGGATGTGTTGAATAGAAAGGCGGTAATATCACAAACTAGCTGTAAACCACAACACAACATGCCAACTACCATCCAAATTTCAAAATATGCTATTGTCTTGAAATGATCTTTTGGGGGTGAATAAAGAAGAAGCTAAAAAAGGTAGTTGCGTATCCTTTACAGGATGTTGCAGAACCAACCCCAGCATTTTTTGGCTGTTATGTTTTTCTAGGCAAATTTACATCCAGTAGTTTGCCACTGCTTTCTGTAGAATCGGCTTCTTGATACCGCTGTCGAAACCAATGTTAGGCCCGCAGCTGGGATCGAACCCAGCACCCCAGAATTACAAATTTAGTTCGCAACGCCTAAGCCACAGACGCCGACAAAGAAGGAGAAAGAGACTAAATTCCTTAAAATGATGAACTGTCAGTGACAATTACCCACCGGTGTACTTTGTTTCTTGACCTGGCAAGTTTATTATCTGCAATACAGCACCTTTTGACATCACAGCATCTTGGCTGGGCTCTCTTGACACTCGGCAGGAGTAACAGCCTACCCACTGGGCATGGGTCACATTGTAGAGTCGCAGCTCACTTGTGTTTGAACCTATGTATTACCCAAAGTTTCAAGGATAAAACTAATGTCAATTATAAAGAGAGTGAATATGAATGAAAATAGAAATATAAACATGTACATGTCACCGAAGGACAATTAGGATGTTGTCTTACTGAACTTTCTTCCTGTGTGGGTTTTGGACCTCACTTAGGAGGAAAAAAGAACTGACACACAGTCCCTTAACTAGCATGTCATACAAGGCAGGTAATTATGAATGTTTCCTTTGAAATCAAAGTGCATCTGTCTGACAGTGAGGAACTAACAGTCTGCATACAAATAAGTCAGATGGATAAAATAGATAGCAGATCTCACAGGGGCATAGAAATAAAGGCAGACACAAACACACACACACATAAAATGCACAAAAACACACACAGAGAAGGGAGCTAGAAAGGAGGGGGAGGCCATGCGGTGAGATGCACACTAAGATAGGATGGCCTGGTGCAAGTTGGTTGAGGGCTATGCTCCACTGGGGAATGAATGGCAGAAGAAGACTGGTGAAGATGGGGACAGGGCACTTGCAGGAATATCCAGAGTGCTGTGAGTCAGTTCTTAACTCGTTGACAAAATGAAACACAACAGAAAGAACTCATGGTCAGAAATCATGACAGCCGCCTTGACTTTTCCAGAGAAATCTATTAACCTGTTTTATTAGTATTCAGTTTCCTCTAGGATTTGGGCCAAAGTCCCCTAACAACAAAAGCCATACATCTGTGGAGAAAACCCCCACCTAAGCCTAATTCCAGCTGGTCAACACATGCTGTGCTGAATCGCGATCTAGTTATATCCTAATATAACAGTGAGCGGATGTGTAGTTTTAATCATGTATTTGATAAACATTACAACAGAAGGCAGGAGTCGCTGTGATGGAGTGGCTAGTTGCTCTCCATGGATCGGAAGGCTATGGGTTTGTTTGATGGCGGAGCCGGACTTTTGTTCAAAAATGACTTTGGCTCCCAGTCCAGGTCGACCCAGCCTTGAGTGGGTACCGGGTGAAGTCCCTGGAAGTAAAGGAGGCTGGCGTGGTGCTGACCACATCACCCATCTTGTGCCGAATGGTCTATAAAATAGAGGTCTAGCCCTATACGCCTAAAGGCGTGGAAAAGTGTCCTTTACTTACTTTCCTTACAACAGAAGGCCTAATAAGATGCAGCAGGGGATCATTTATGAATTCTGACCAACACAATCAACAAAATTGTCACTGCAACTCCTGCAAAATTAAGTTTATAAAGACAGCAACTATAGTGTTACAAACAATTGTGGAATCTGAAATCAAGATAACAGCAGCAGTTGAGATAATTATTTTATTTATAAGATATTATATAAACTATAATTTCAACTACTATAGTTAAAACAATCACAATTGTTTCATTATTCAAATACTATAGTATTTGCAGACGCGTGTAAAAACACACTGAACTAAACTATTGTGGTAGACGCTTGGGTCAAAGAAAAATCATGAGATAAAACCACAGTATGCAAAAACATGAACACTTTTTCTAACAGAAAAAAAAAAAGAGTAAAAAAAAGTAATATCTAAACTCTTTCAGTACCAGAGAATGCAAAGTATATTCATTGGTTACTGTTATACAATTCCTTACATTTTTTGTCACACTCTTCTCTTATGTTAACCTATTCTACAGATGTTACTATCCTTGTGCCTCCAAAGCTGTTGTTTTCCATACCATAAGACAAACAGCTGTTCTAAAGTACACAAATCTTAGGTCAGACTGCAATGAAATAGCTACTCCCTAGGACTGAAAGAGTTAGTATGAAGAATATTCAGAGAGAAAAAAAAAGCACACTAACCTTGGACAACATTTGGCTCATCGTGTAGCATGTTATTATCCAGAAACCACTGGTACTGCACATCATAGTCTCCCCACACTTCACATTTAAATAAAGCATTGCCACCTACGGTGATGGCACATGATCTAGGATGCTCTTTAATTTCCAGCTCAGCTAGGAAACAAAAACCAGTGAATGAGATTACTCACTATCCTAACGAAACTGGGCACGAAAACAAAGAAATCTTTTAGCATGCAAATTAAACTTTATACTACTGTTTATTTACTGTACAAAACAGTGCAAGAGAAATTAAAGGTGCTTTGATTTGGCAGGAAAATGTGCAAGAGAAGACAGAGATGGTGCAATATTAAAGAAAATGTGAAAGATAAAACAGAAATGGTGCAATACTAGCAGGAAACCATGCAGGAACAAAGCTCAAGTCCAGAAATGGACGATCAACCTGGGCTTCCTCCAGAATTTACAGCCGGTGAAAACTAATAAATAAACAAATGCACAAATTTAACTATGTGCTAATAAACTAATTATAAATAAAAAAACTTACGAGCTGGAAGTACTCTGATCGTAACAGGCCTGGTCAATCTAAGAAGGGCTGGGTCATTATTATTGTATACCAGACAGCAGTAATCCCCAGAGTCACTGTCACTGTTGATGATAGAAAAATGATTCATGGGAAGTCAGCAGTTCTGCACAGAATTTTGTACCATTAAATGAGGCACAAACCCATTAGGAGAAATATATACTTTTATATCACCTGTACCTTAAATTGTATGACAGAACAGCCAATATGGAGCTCATCAAAGAAATTCTAAACATATACCAGCTGACCAACAGGTGAAGAAAAATGCTGAGTGCTCTGTTGATAGAATAAATAAAAAGATCCTTCTTCTGTAACTCACATAGGGAAAAACAAAACAATAAAGGGTGGTCAGTAGAGACTGGCTACTGCAGAAGACAGCAACTGAGAGAGAGAGAGAGAGAGAGAGAGAGAGAGAGAGAGAGAGAGAGAGAGAGAGAAAGAGAGAGAGAGAGAGAGAGAGAGAGAAAGAGAGAGAGAGAGAGAGGAGTGAGAGGTAGTAGAGGATTAGAGAGTAAGGTGTGTGTGTGTGTGTGTACATGTTTGTATCTGTGTGTGTAAGTGTGTGTGTGTGTGTGTGTGTGTGTGTGTGTGTGTGAGAGACAGAGAGAGAGAGAGAGAGAGAGAGAGAGAGAGAGAGAGAGAGAGAGAGAGAGAGAGAGAGAGAGAGAAAATGAAGGAAATTTTTCAAAACGCTAGAATGTAAGATGACAGAAGGCTTCTAATGAAGCTACAAATGTATTATGGAAGAGCAATACTTAAAATATATAATCAAACACAGAGGACAAAACACATTCCAATTTTATTTACTGGTTAAAGAAATTGCTTAACAGTTTTAAAAAAAAAAAGGAATGCATGATGCATCTGAATTTAAAAAAAAATTGCCCACAAGTCTTGGGTTTGACACCATACTGATGCAGATTTTAGTAAATAATCAGGTCAACCCAGACTACAATGGGTTTAAGAAAATGTCCTGAGAAGTAAAGGTGACCAGGTGTTGACGACATAGCACACACAGTGTTGACTGATCTATACAAATTGGATATAACATTAAACACCCATTGTACCAGGAGCTTGAATAAGGTTCACTACTTACTTTTGTGTTTGCGTATGTGTGGTAAAACCAGCTCAATTATTTTAAAATGTGGAAATTGGGTTGACTATGCTAACCTTTCTGCAAGAAAACAAAATATTCCACTGGTGGCTCCCTCAAGTTTGTCGATACCTTTGTACCACTGAAACCTTGGAGGTGGAATCCCTCTAGCCTTCACTGTCAAGGTCACTCTCTCTCCCTCCAACACATGCATTTCCTCCAAGGGCTGCTGGGTAATCTCAACTGGAACTTGAAACAAAAACAGAACTAAAATTTCACATAAAACAAAACATATTTGGTTATCCTTGTTTTATTAATTTACTTGGCAGTTAACAAACGAGCTCAAAGATACTAAACTACCAGTTGTTAGTGACTGTTTCTTTTGTTATTTGACACTATGAATTATGTGAATGTTTACTTCAAGTTCCTGTTGACAGTACTTGCATTTTTTTTTCTTTTTGTTTATCTCTTTTTAATCACATTTTGTTATGTTGTTGGCGGGTGAAAGGGGTGTCAGGGGTCTTGCCATACACTCATGGGGGAGGGGGGGGGGGGGGGGGGGGGGGGGGGGGGGGGGAGGAAGAAGGGAGCTACCATCTGAAAACGGTTGGAGACCACTGATTTAAACAAACAATAATAATAGTAATTCTAATAAAACCCTGTTAACAATTGTTAAACAACTCTAGTGCTAATAAACTGACTTTAGATAATCAATACATTAAATGATGCAACGGACTTTAGATGATAATACAGCTTTACATGTAAAAAAATACCATAAGACAACTTCAAAACTGACTGAACATATTTAAGGTTACATAATAAAGACTAAATGATGAATCAGACCTTTAATCTTCTTCTTCTTCTTAGCATTCATTGCCTGTAAACATGGGGGGGGGGGGGGGGGGGGGGGAGTTCTGATTTTTCATCATCCTTCTGGACTGGGGTCTTATTCAAAAACTCAGGTTTTGCTTTCACATCTATTTTTACCGATCTGGCCTATTTGTATGCAGACTGTTGGTTCCCTGCTTTTCAGACAGATGCATTGTGATTTCAAATCAAACACCCCTAATAAGTCACTTTTTATGACACGCTTGTTGAGGGCAGTTGGCCTATTCTTGTTTCCCCCAAAATGGGGCTATGGAAGCCACATGGGGGAAGACTCAAAGATTAAGTCACTTACATGTTTGAACAGAGAATGAATGAATAAGATATTATAGTATGATATATAACTGTAATGAACAGCAGAAGTGATAACAAAAGACAGATTCTTGAAGGCGGACAGGCAAATTGCCCTTTTATTGTAGGTGTTATTAGTCCTAGAGACCAGTACCTTCTGGTGTCTGCTTTATAGTGACATTTATTGTCTTACAGTTTTTTAAATTTTCCTATCATATTTATTCTCTGCTGAACTGTAGGTGCATAAAACAAAAATCTACATTACTCTAGACTAGAAGTAACCACCTGCCATTTTTTCTATGGCATATTGTGAAAAGTAAAGGCTATTCGCTTGCCTGTGGATTGGAAGGTCATGGGTTGAGTGTCCTGACGGAGCCGGACTTTTAAAAAAAAATGACCTTGGCTCTCAGGTCGACCCAGCCTTAAGTGGGTACCAGATAAAGTCCTGGGAAGTAAAGGTGGCCGGAATGATGGAATGATAGTTGGTTAGTATCCTTTACAGGACGTTGCAGAACCAGCCCCTGACTATTGTGTGGTTTCTCTAGGCAAATTTACACCCAGTAGTTTGCCTTTGCTTTCTGGACAGTCGGCTTCTTGATACCACTGTCGAAGCCAACGCAAGGCGCATGGCCTGCAGCTGGGATCGAACCCGGCACCCCAGCATTACGAAGCGGTTGCATCGACTCAGCCACAGAGCCGACCGCACTTCTACTATCTATCCTTATTACCCTTGCTGGGTCCTTGCATTATTGAGGCAGATTAATAGATTTTACCTTGGGGTCCCTGCTAAACATGAATATTCCTTTTTTGTTGTTGTTGATTTGGATGCAGAACACTATTTTCACTGCAGTCATGCATCTTACATCGCTGCAGACCAAGCTTATTTGGTCCTGATCATTATTTGATCATTTACACTTATGTAATATCACTTCACTTATACAGTTTCAAACACTTAGTCCTTCTAACAATAGAATAAATCAAATGAATAATAAAATACTATAAATATAACACATAACAATTTTAGAACTTACTGAATATATTAAAGAGGTTCAGAAGAGAATAATCCTGAGAAGCATCAGCATATTTCATAGCATAATGTACAAACATCCTTATTGTCATTCCTCTAGCTTTTAACAAATTCAACAGTGCAGTTGTTGGACTGGATTCCCTTTCAAGAGCATCAAAGTTTTCTCTGTGAAATTAGAATGATAAATGGCAGCATTTTTAAATCTCAGGAAGTGTGCAATACCAGTATGCTAAAGATTTTACAATATGAACTCTTTTTTTACCGCGCAACTCATCACCATACATTTATTTATTACTTAATATGTGGTATATATTTCTTAACTCATCCTGTTTCTTTCTTATAATAATCCATTCTATTTCAATTTTTACTTTAACTCCTCCTATAGTTGAATTTGGAGCTGTAGTAGCGTAGTGGAACTCGATAGGTGATGTGGTCAACATTATGTGGTCACCTTTACTTCCCAGAACATTACCTATTTTGGTCTGGCATGCCCTAGATGCCAAAGTCAATCTAGAAGAAACAAAATATGACGCGATGTGGATTCGAACCTGAAACTTTGGCCTGGCAGATGAGCGTCTAGCAACTATGCTACTGCTGCCACCCTGTGTTCAATAATCAAGCCAGATTTCTGTGGTATGCTGATGCCAAACTGTTTCAGTATATCCATCAACCTTTAACTATGGATATTTTGGCAACATCTTGGCACTCTTTAACTATTTGTGTGGACAAGATGGATATATATCAATCCACCAAGGTCAACAGCTATCTCAGTGGGTAAGATAAATATATCCCTCCTCAAATTTCCATGGAAAATATATAGTGGGTACAATGAGACACATGCTTGCAACTTGAACTATTTATTGTTCTGCTTGTCTGTTTGGCCGAAGCACTCTTCAGTGACTTTCAGTGGCTACTGGCTACTTCAGTCCTTGATTTTCATGTGCAAGCAGCTTACAGTTGTGATAAAACCTCAGAATATTTCCGTCATGAAAGAGTTAACCACCCATGCTTTATTCATCACAACAAATGCATTCACTATTTGTATATAAATGTATTTTAACTGCAAGAATAGCAGGTTTGTACTGTAGTGTACTAGCACAATAACTTATGACCTTCCCCCTAGTCTTGCAGTTAGGGACCAAACAATACATAGTCATTCACTGTTTGCTACTAGCCCTAGGCAGACCATCTGTGAGTTACGATGTGCGATGAGCTTCCTTAAGTTCAGATAACTGTATCATAAACTCAGTGTGACGGCGCCAGTAACAACATGCAAAAAAAGTCCGCGTCAGACTGGCAGAAAACATTTTTCAACTTGGAAAGTTTAATAAGCTATTTCAAGATGCGTACTACCATGCTCTGTTCACTGTCTCTGATCCGTCTAGGGTTGGAAAACAGCTTCTTAACTCATCACTACACTTCAATGCTTGTTCCTTGCGTTCACCAGCTGTCAACTCCGGCGGAAAGTTCTGAACTTCAGTCTTGTTCCAGAACTTAAGTTTTGCATGTACATCCATTCAACAAATCTGGCTTAACTGTATGCAGACTGCTGGTTCCTCTCCTCTCAGGCAGATGCACTCTGAATTCGAAGGAAACTTCCCTAATCAGTCGTCTTGTATGACATGCTTGTTAGAGATGCAGTGTCAATATATATTCTGCTTCACACCATTCCCAGAATTGGGCCTAGGAATCAACACAGGGAACATCAATACTAATTACACCACTTACTGCAGATATTCTTCTTTCAACAAATGTTCCTATTCACACTCACAAGGGGTCAGTATTACTATTTGCCTGTTGATTACATTCATTGGCTGTTGGCTCAACTGTCATTGTGTCAACTTTCGGCTGACCATACACACTTTGCTGTAGGCTGCATGAGTAGATTCAACTTGCAGATGCACACATATTCATAACAACTTAAAACACATTTAAACACCAAACACAGACTGATCCTTAGTTCTTTCACCCTTCTAATCATCAGTTAAATTCATATGCATTTTGTAACATTCCTCAGATATTCTTGCACTGCTTAATCATCAAGCATCATGTTTGTCTTTCTGGCTGTAATGATCCATGTTTTACCATAATAACAGCAGCTTAACCATAGTGAAGGAAACAGTGATGGAACATCATTTGCATGGCGGAGCCTATATGGGTAAAACGACAGAGGGAATAGTCTAGAGAGTAAAGGAATCTTACAAAACATGAGAAGAAGCGAGTAATGTTAGAATTGTGTGTGCAATCTGGATACATGAGTCTAAGAGTGACAGAAACAGTCAGTTTTTGGCACTGGAGCTGAGAGGACAAAAAGAGAATGATTGAACTGAATTTTTTAAGCATCCACACTAGTCATCAATATCTGGCTAATTATCACAGCATGACAACTATCAGAGCATGTTGAGAAAGGTAGAGACAGGCATGCTCCGTGCAGAGTGGCAAGCATCACTTCAGAGGTCCTGGGCAGTTAGCATCCTTTGAATATTTTCTCCAGGTCAAGCCAGTGTGTTGAGAAATGAACAGGCAGATAGACTGGCCAGAGGTGGTGAACTGATGTATGACACGCTGGATGTTGTGAGGGCTCTTTGGAAGCGATTGAACAGTGTGGAGACACAGACAGATCATTACAATCTGGGTAGAATGGCATTGCGAGGAGTTACAAGGAGATCTGGCTGTTGCTCAACACTAAGGGAAAGGTGAGATGGATATACAATCTGACAGTTACTGGTGCCATCGGAATTGGAACTCTTCGCTTGCTGCTAAAGATGGGGATGGAGCGCTTATAGGGATGTCCCGAGTGTCCCAATTATCATCAACAAGATGGAACCTTGCTGCGTGACTGTCTGCTGTTAGTTACATCATGGTCTCTTTCTGGCCTCAACAACCCTGTTCCCACCATTAGCACCTTTCTACTTTCCAGATGAAGGTGTTATACAGTGTTACAGAAAGGCATGGCAATGCAGACAATTAATACCACGGATGAAGTTCCTCCTGCCCATAGCATAAAAACCTAGACAGTATTGCAGAGACCAACTGTTGTCCATGCAACATGCTTCCACTATTGGGCTGTAGTATTCACCCCGAAGGAAGCTTAACACCAATACATTTGGACAATACATGCTGCAAAAGCTTCCAGTCTGCCTGTCCTAGCTTCCTTCCTAGACCAGCTTCCAACCAAGGCTTAGGACCTGGTTTGTCCTGCTTTATTATTAAGTTTTCAGGTTGCATTCATGTGCTTCTCTGGTGAGGTTTGGTTATGGGTGAATATACTTACAATTAAGTGATAACATATGCACTAATGCTATCTCTTACTGCAGAATGTAACATCCACTCCTCAATGATAAAGAAAAACACAAATAATTTGACAGTTTGAATTAATTAAAAATCTTACTGATCGTAATCATCACTCAAAGCTGCCACAAACAACCTCCAACCAGAATTCTGCTCATTTGTATCCAGGTGGTCTCGAATGGACATGAACAAATTGCCTGGAAGATCTCCTAAACTTCTGTCACCAATCTCTTCTAAATCTGCCATGTTTGCCTGTCAACACGTAAAGATGATGTATTCTACTTTACGTTGAAGCACATAATGTTGTTTGTCATTAAAATAAGTATGAAAGACGTAATTGTAAGTTAGACTTAATTTAAATATTCATCAGCTTGTTGACAGAGGTTGGTGCAAATACTCATTAAAACCTAATAAATCTGTAGAGCAATTTTGCTCTGAAAACTTAGAAGAGACTGTTGATACTGTTGATAGTGTTTTCTACACACAAGACGGAATCTTGCTGAATATAATAACTAATGATTTGGTTATGTTTTTTTTTATACAGTCTGTGAAAACTTTCACCAGAAAGCATGCAATGAGGTAAAGCAGTCAGTGGAAACTCACTAGGAGCATGAGATGATGTGAAACATTAAAAATCTCTTCAGGGAGCATAAGATGATGTGAAATATGAAAACTCTTACTAGAAAGCATGAGATGATGTGAAATTTGAAAACTCTCACTAGGAAGCATGAGATGATGTGAAATATGAAAACTCTCACTAGAAAGCATGAGATGACGTGAAATATGAAAAATCTCACCAGGAAGCATGAGATGATGTGAAATAAGAAAAATCTCACCAGGAAGCATGAGATGATGTGAAATAGGAAAAATCTCACCAGGAAGCATGATGATGTGAAATATGAAAACTCTCACTAGGAAGCATGAGATGATGTGAAATTTGAAAACTCTCACTAGAAAGCATGAGATGATGTGAAATATGAAAACTCTCACTAGGAAGCGTGAGATGACGTGAAATATAAAATATCTAACCAGCAAGCATGAGATGATGTGAGGTATAACAACTCTCACTAGGAAGCATGAGATGATGTGAAATATGAAAACTCTCACCAGAAAGTAGAATATAATGTGACATAGTCAATGGAAACACTCACTACGAAGTGTGAGATTATATCAAAAAGTCAGTGCAAACTTACCTGGAAGCATGGGCTGCTCATCTGAACTAAAACATAATTTCCCTACCAAGATTGTGTAGAGATACACATGGGTACAATAAATTACTAGACTACATGGGCAAAAGAGAAACAAGAACAATACAGTTTGTTATGGCAAGATAGGTTAACATTAATTCCAGTGTGGGGTTGTATTGGCTTAATAGAATACTGTATTATTTCACATGTGCTTTTGCTTCCTGTATTCATGTCAACATGTTTATGGATCAGAGACTTATTATCATGAAGTGTCTTCATTTGGCTATGAACTCTGGGTCCCAGATCTGTATCATTACACTTACACATTGCATATATAAAAGAGATCCATTACAGTTTAGTAAAATAATGATAAAGCAAAGCAGTATATTAACAATAAGTAAATAAACGTACACAGTATAAAAATAGTACCAGCAAAAGTGATATGATGATGTAAAGTAGCTAAAACTAGCCATGCTAACGGATCCAAAGCGGAAGTGACGAGACACCATTTTGTTTTTCAGGTGCACAATAGACACAATGTAACAATAAAAACAAGGCTGCATTGACCCTCATAAGGAAACTATTTTTCTCCAGTCTCAACACACTTCACACAGTGCCCCAATAAAATATCTATAAAACAATAGAGTAAAAGCAGAACACACAGTGGCTAAGTTGTTAAACAATTTTCCTCATGGTCTGAACGTTGTAGACACTCTGGGAGTTGATGCTAGAGCTATGAAGGTTGGCATCGATCTTAAGAGGTGGCTAGCCAGTCGGTAGAGACAGATTGAGCCGTGTGGGATAAAACCAAGTGCAGTTAGGCGGATATTTTTTTTTTTAACTTCAAATCTCTAAAGGTAAAAAGGTAAATTTGGGAGATGTGAACCAGCAACACTGCATACGGTTATAAACCATAAATGCTCTGCCACCAGTACGGACAGCTGATAAGAAACTGTCTGCACGTAACTCCATAGCTACAGCGATGTTCCTCCATTTACGCCAGAGCGTTAACTCTGGTAACCATCACCTAGAGGCTGGGTGAACCCCTGGAACCGCCCGGTTTCAAACACCAGCCGTGGGCTGCAAGTCGCAGCTGGATTTGAAAGCGAGTCTCCTATCGACTGCGCTATTGAACCTCTTTTTATCCTTAACTCATAAAGTGCTTATTAAAACTAGAAAGCTGGTATTAAAAAAAAAGTAAACGACCCTTTTCCCTGCCTTTAGGCGTATAGAGCAAATAGGGCTAGACTTTTACTTTTATAGACCAATCAGCACAAGATGGGTGATGTGGTCAGCATCACGCCGGCCGCCTTTACCTCCCAGGACTGCACCCGGTACCCACTCAAGGCTGGGTCAACCTAGGAGCCAAGGTCATTTTTGAAAAGGTCTGGCTCCACCAGGGAGTGAACCCACGACCTTCCGATCCGCAGTTGCATCTAGCCACGGTGACTCCCAGAGAGCTGGTGGCCATGTTTATATGTTAATTAGTCAAATATTGCATCACATGCATTTGGGATTTGCATTTACAGATAGGTCTCACTGACCTGATTGCAATGACAGATAGTTGCAAAGGAATTCGTTATTAAGAAACAAAATAGTTATTGCCACAAAATGTAAAATTGTGTCATTTTAACCCTTTATTTTACAAGAACGCAGCTCAGCATCCATCTTTTGCCAGCCTCCACTATAATTTGTCAATGGTTCTATAATCCACTAAAATGTTAATAGCATAGCTGACCTACAGGCTTCATTGTGGTATTGTTGGACTGGATATTTTAATATTTAATCTCAATCTAGTCGTGATAGTTTTGTTTTATAAGAAAAAATCAATTTATAAAACTTCACTAGCATCCATTTTAGTAAAACTAAAACTTTGAGTAAAGTAAATAAATGTACTTTCAAAAACAGCTGTTGTGTGTTGTCAACACCGAACAGAAATGTAAAATTAATAATTAAATGTCAGCTTGGCTTATCGACTTTAGCAAGGTAAAATTTTTTTCGTCGAATTAAGAGTTTACATTTATCTAAATATGACCGATTTGGGAAAAATATCACAGATTTTCTCTGAAGAGTGCAAAGCAATAATATTATATAATATTAATAACTAATACTGTACTAATACTATTAGTATAGTATTAGTTATTAAATAGAACACAGGGACTCACTTGATTGTTACTTGTTTATTGCTGCTAGTGCTACTGACTACTGCACTGCTACATCAAGTTGATGATCAACATCCTGTTTGTTTTATCGTCCAAGAAATATTTAATTAACGCTGGGGTTTATATCGGTGGTAAATATAGTAACATTTTGAGACAACAAATATTTTAGAAATGTTGTTTTCTAGACAAAAAAGTGTGGAGCTTTTATCATATCATATTTAAATTTTGTTTGCAGGTCTCCGCCCAAGACGACCGCCATTTTTCTCTGACGCAGGAAGTCAACATTACCTAATCAATCAACATAAATAAATCGGGGGATTTCCCTGACCGATCCCAACTGTGTTTGTTTAACTTTCCTGTTTTATTTTCACTGATTACATACATGTGATTTATTAACTATAAAAAATATGAGTCACCGAAAAACGATTAAACATAAACTGAAATCGTTTTAAGAAAAGGCAACGATGCATACAACAAAGCTGAAAAGCCACCTTGCCATCAAAGCAATAATTGATGGCAATTTCCAGGAAATTTAGGAGTAGACGAGACGCGATTCCGAGGTTCCACATCATTAAACCTGGTTTGATACGCGTCCGACTTTAGCTATTTATATATATATAGCTCAAGTCGGACGTGTTTGATACCATGGCTACTGTTGAAATACGTATGAAAGCACGTAAAATGGTTGAACCCCTTGCTTTAGTTTAATTAGTAAATTGACATATATTGATTAACACTCTCCCCGTGTGGCTTCTAGGGTCCGATTGTGGTGGGAAAAGAATACCTACTGTCCCATAAAAAGATGCTGTAAAAGGCAGAGTACATCTGAGAGACGAGAACCAACAGCCTGCTTACAAGTAAGTCAGATCTGTAAAAAGGATGCACAAACAAACTCACATGTTGGAACAAAACCAAATTCCAGAAGTTTACGAATCACCAAAACTTTCACCGGAGTTTAGTCAGTAACCGCTACTAAGAGGGCAAACAAGAAGAAGACTAACACCCATACGCTGAGAACATAAGTAAATATTAGGGTCATCGATGGGATCTGTTCACACCTTTCCTGGCTGCTACACCCTTATATTACAAAATGTCAATCTAAATGTCAGATCAACGGAGTAAATGCCAGATACATCGTCCAACCTCGAAAAAAGTAATAGTCAACTCTGTATAAACTCCAGTGGAAAGTTCTGCTTGTCCGTCCACTTCTGGACTTTAGGATTATTTTAGAACTTGAGTGTTGCGAGCACATCAGTTTTACAGATATTTCTTTATGTTTATGCAGACTGCTGGTGCCTCACATATCAGACAGATGCACTAAATCTCTAATTTTTTGTAGACTCTTACAACATGCTTATTAGGGAGGGAGTGGGTCTACTCTCTCCTCAACCATCAGAACCAGCACGGTGAAGGGATTTTCTTCCACTTCCGGACTTTGTCTTTCCATGCTCAGATATGACATATTTGTACCCAGGCCGTTGGTTCCTCGCCTCTCAGGTAGATGCACTTCTACTTGGAAGGAAACTAATAAGTCGCTTTTTACGATATGCCTTTTAGAAGACAATGAGGCTGTCCATGTTTTCCCCTTAAGAGGGCACCGGAACCCACGCCAGGAGAAAGAGCAGTTCATGAACTGGTCAGAGATCTGGACAGGTAAGTTAGTTGCGTATCCTTTACAGGACGTTGCAGAACCAACCCCAACAGCCCCTGGCTGTTGTGTGGTTTTTCTAGGCAAATTACGTCCAGTAGTTTGGATCTGAATAAAAACAGGATGTAATATTCCTAACAGGGCTACTGAATTTTGTTTTAAAAATAGTACCAAAGATCTTTTGAAAAGGTGCCAAAACACACTATAAGGTACCAAATTTTTATTTTTTAATTAAAAACCATAAAAACTAATTAAACACACACACTTACACACACAAACACACACTAAAGCACCTTGAAGTTGCAACTGACAGGGGACATCTTCTTGATAAGAATATCAAGAGACAACGGCTGGAAAGAGGTGGCTCTTAGATGGCATAGGCAGACGTCACGATCACAACTGTCTTTGCTACTGACAAGATAGCGTATGATATATTCCGCGCCTTGGCAAAGTGTAGTTTGGGACTATTTAACTGGCGGCCCACGGGTCAGATCCTGCCCGAAGAGACGTAGTAAGTGACCTTCGGATCACTTACCAGTCAATATGTTTTAATGTTTCTAAGATGCAGCTCGGGTCTCTGGTCCGCGATGATCCATATTTTGAACATTTTTGTCCCCTGTGTGAAAGACCCTGGTGTAGACATTAGCTAACATTTTTATCTTTTCAAGAAATTTGTCAAAATGTTTCTGCACTTGTGACAAATCTATGCGAGCCCAGCACAGACCTGAGATAAGCTCCGCTACAAGTTACGCTGTAGTTGTGTGGTTCACATAGAAAGATATTAATCGAAACTGACACAGATAAGAAAGCTGAACAAGCTGCGACATACGGTAATAAAAAAATATTATATATGAGAATACGACGAGCAACATTACACGATTAGGTGGGGCTAAGCCCCCCCCCCCCCCCCACTCCCCAACCACGCAGAGAAGCTCCTTTGTTTTCTTTATGCATATCATATTTGAAATAAATTATTATAATTGTTGCCATTCAGCACATAATAATATTAGTAAAATAATAACAACAACAATGACAATTCTTATTATTAATTTCTTACACAAGGGTCTTGGGATCCCCGAAATTTGTAAGACGGTTGAGTGCTCCCACCACTAATGTTCTATTTGTGTCAGAGCCTTTGATTCTGAAACCTTTACCAGCTTAGAAATAAATGATAGTGTAAACATAATTAATCTTAGCAAGTATATAAACAGTCGAGCATTGTGTAAAGTCAGGATTTCCAGCATGAAGAAGAAGAGGAAGAAGAAGAAAAAGAAGAAGGGACAGAAGCAACAGGAGCAGCAGCAGAAAAAGAAAAAGACGCAACAGAAGAAAAAGAAGAAACAGAAGAAGAAGAAAAAACTTCGTTAGAACAATTAAACAAAAATTTCCCCTCTAAGGTTGCAAACTGAAAGATCAACCTGGTGACTCAAAGAGGCACAAATCATTTCAAGGCATCCGCTGGTTATGACATAACCCGTAGTCCATTTTCGGTGGATGAAGTTCCCCGTCTGGTTTCCGTGTGCCTATCTGTTGTTCTATTGGCGTCCTAACGATCATTTCTTAAAAGGCTACTACACGGGCGTTTCTTTCCCAGTCATATCGTACAATGCAGCTAATCAGGGATATTTCTTTCGAAGTCGGAGTACACCTGCCTGAGATGCGAGGAACCAATAATCTTCACACAAATAGGCCAGAATTGTGAAACGGATGTTCACACAAAAATCAAGTTCTGGAACAAGACTAAAGCTAAAGAAGAAGAAAACCTAGAAAGTTTTAATATAATGTTTAATCCAGTTTCGTCCTTTTCAGGACGAAATTTTTTGTCATTTGAAGCCCTACTCTGGCTTTTGCCAGGGGCCGCAATATAGGCAGGCCATACATATGGCCAAATGTCTGAACGCGGTTTCTGGGACCTCTCCACGGCGATCCTCATCCGCATGATGGCACTTTGTGTCATCGGGTGTTTATCGCTTGTGTGATGTCCTAGTGGGGTAGAAAGTCAATCAATCAATCAATATAATGTTACCACTCGTCTGTGATCTTCGTAGAAAGTCCTAGCCATAATCAGTGTGTCAACTCCCGAATGGTTGTCCCCGAAAACAGCCAAGAAAAAAATAATCATTTAAGTTTAATAGAAAGGATATTGTTGACTAGTCGGCGTCTGTGGCTAAGGCGTTGCGAAAGGTTTGTCTAGCATTAGTTTCGACAGTGGTACCGAGAGCTGACCGTTTAGAAAGCAATGGCAAACTACTGAACTTAACACTTGCCTAGAAAAACTACAACAGCCAATACATGCTGGGGTTGGTTCTGCAAAGTCTTGTAATGAATACTCAACTAACTTTAATCGTTGATTAATACCACTTCGCTGATCGCTGACTGACTGACGTTCAACCCTACCAGGACATCACACGGAGCGACAAACCCTCGGTTACACAGTGCCACCATTCGGATGAGGATCACCCAGACACAGGTCATGGAGACCCCGTTCAACCCATAGGTAGAGTTATATTAGGGCTCTCGGCAACTGCCAGGGTGGGGTTTCAAAACAACACAAATTTGCGTCGGACCTTGGCAATGGGCCTTGTATGTTAAATAGCTCAAGGTCTAATCCTGTATTTTCTAAAAGTATCTACACAAGAGACAACTGGGTCACATTTTTCAGGTCGCTGAGAGAACCTGAATTACAAAAGACAGTGAAATTCATACTTCTAGAGACAACATTGCATAATAATATATCATCCATTTCAAGGGAGAGAAAATGAGCTAGAGAGAGATAAACACAAGGTTCAAGGCTGTGATCAGAGTTCATAGGTCGCTGTCGTGCGTCTTTCGGAGGATATCGGTCAAACTGATGCCCATTTTCAATCTTCTGTGCACTACAGATTTAACTTCTGCTTCATCTAGTCGTTTAAATAACATCAAACATGTCTGGCGGACAAGCACTTGATACGGACTGCATAACTTTGACGAGGTTTGTCCTGGAGGAGCAGCGAAAGTATCCCCAGGCCACGGGTGACCTCACTCAGCTGTTGAATGCCATACTGACAGCGATCAAAGCCATCTCGTCGGCCGTGCGAAAGGCAGGAATTCATCACCTGTATGTATATCTCTTCAATTATTCACTTTTTCAAAATCAAATTAGTTACATTATCATTACCAGTATATTGTGGATTAGTTTTAAAAAGAAAAGTAGCATTGGAAACTGAAACTAACTTATGGACATACTTAACTATCAACAAGTTGAGATAATTTCTTGAGCTTACTTTAACCTAGGTTCCAAACTAAGGTAGTTAGTGCCGTTATAAGACACAGATAGTTTTTTTTTCTCTTTCTGCGTTCGACATCAGTCATGCTAAACATTGAGTCCCGTCTGGGTCACAAATAGGATTGTGCGTTTATGGTCGCCACCGGTCCAACATAGATTCTCTCGCAGTGTGGATCCCCTGGGCCAAATCCACAGTCTTTGCTGGGAGAGGTAAGGGCAGTATTGCAGTATGTGCTCAAGGGTCTGTCTTTCTGCTCCACAATCACAGGCAGCAGATTCTTTTATGCCTATCCTGTACAGGTGTGCTGGAAGACCACAGTATCCAGTCCGAAGTCTAAAAATTGATGTTTGTTCTTTCCTGTTGAGTTTGTTTATGCTGCCACTCTCTGGTCTGTAATTTCCATTCTGCCTTCTCCACTCCCGCTTAAACGACTGCTTTAGCCCTGTTTTGATTTCCTTGTAGCTGTGTGGTGGATGAGGTTGTGGAAGATTACTCCCAGCTTTTGCCAACTCATCTGCTCTCTCATTTCCTAAAAAAACACAGTGGGCTGGTACACAGATAGTATGTTTAATAGTCATTGAGAGTGAGTAGAAAAAGAGAGGGGGAGGGAGGCAGGGAGGGGTCGGACTAGATTCAGCACACGTTATAGAAAGGACTGCACCTGATTGAAAGGAGTCGAGAAAATGGCTCTCCTCCTAACTTCTACCCCCGCATTATGGCGGCCTCAAATATCCTTACAGGGCTCAGTCCAATTAAAAATTTGCAAACTTCCGGCGACAAAAGAATTGCGGCAAAACTAGGATCCGCTCCGTATAGCAAAACAAATGCTCTAACAGGGTCTCAGCGATATGTTAATTGCGGACCTATTTCTGTGACTATGCCTCACTACCGACCGTATCCCCCGCGCGGATGGGGGCTGACTAGATGGTTGTGACTCACGAGCAGCAACTACCGCATCTTCTGCAACTTCCTCCAATTAATTTGCTTGTGAGTCTCAGGCATCTAGTTTAGCCCCCCATTCGCGCCGCACGTAGCGGCCCGGGAGATACTTTCGGCGGTAAGTGTAACCGCGTTTTGCGCATGCCGAAAAGTTTAAGGACAACAATGACGCTAATCTGCGTCGGCACACGTGGTCTCCCTGCCATGTCGCTTTTATCGTCTGCAGAAACGCTAGAAAGTGTCAACAATTGCTATTATCGTCTGCTACTATCGTCTGCAGTGTTGCGTCTCTTAAAAACTGTCAGGTAATCAGAAACAATGAGAAACAGGTCTGCAATTAACAAATTGCTGAGACCCTGTTAGAGCATTTGTTTCGCTATATGGAGCCGATCCTAGTTTTGCCGCTATTCGTTCGTCGCCGGAAGTTCGCATATTTTTAATAGGACTGAGCCCAGTAAGGATATTTGTTCGACCCGGCCGGTGGCGCCATAATGCCGGGGTAGAAGTTCGGAGGAGAGCCGAGAAAATTACTGCTTGCACTTTTGTGATGTTTAAATGGTGCAGAAGGATCTGATGAATGTTGTTAGAATACTATTAGATATATGAGAGTATAATATATTTTTTTCGGCTATGTTATGAGAAGAGGGAAAATAGAACATGTTGTGACCACTGGAAAGATCTGTGGAAGGAGGGATAGAGGAAGACAATGAGAGAAGTTGCTTGACAGTCTTGTTGCATGGCATGGAAGTGTGTCGGCACACGAACTGATACTTGCTGCAAGAGATCGCAGATTATGGAGAGGCATGATCGCCCACGCCAGTCGGCAAGGCACCTGATAATGAAAATATTTTTATGTATTCAAAATGAACAAACCAATACATATTTATTTTTCCCCGCAGCTTCTTGTTATCTTTCTAGCTGATAGGGACTTAAATTAGATTTATTATACTATTTTATATATAAATATTATTAATAAATACCAGATATTGCAGAATTAGCAATTTATTTGTGCATTGTCAGTTTCTTTGCAGTTAGTCATGAATGATCTGCCTGTGTATTAGAATTTCTTTTCTGTTTTTTTGTTAAGCTATGGCATTTCAGGTTCATCCAATGCCACAGGAGACGCTGTTAAAAAACTGGATGTCCTGTCCAATGATTTGTTTATCAACATGTTACGGTCATCATACACTTGCTGTATCTTGGTCTCTGAGGAGAACGAACAAGTCATTGTAATTGAAGACAAGTTCAAAGTATGTTTTCTTGATTACAGTATATTTTTGTATAGTTTGACTTGATTACAGCATATTTATGTATTGTTTGACTTGATTACAGCATATTAATGTACTGTTTGATCTAGATGGTATTCTGAGTTTCCTGATTATATACAAAATTCTTGTCAGTATTTATTACACACATACACATATGTTGGAAGGCAAACTCATGAATTTAAGCAAATTCTGTGCATATTGTATTATGATATTTATTCTGTTCACAATTACTGCCAAAAAAGTAAGAAACAAAACCGATGTTTAGATAAATATGTCAGTCTCTTATTGGTATTTTCTGTTGTTCTTTACTCATTTATTAGAGATTTGTTAAATAAATAAAAACATAAATAATTATATAAATAAATAAATAAATAAATAAATAAATAAATAAATATATATATATATATATATATATATATATATATATATATATATATATATATATATATATATATATATATATATATATATATATATATATATATATAAATATATATCTCCCTGATTATATGCAATCTCACGTTACATATTTTTGCTTTAACATGATTTAATTCTTTCAGTCCTATATGACACATCATACGTATGGAAATATTGAACATACCACTTACATTGTCAGAGCTACCTGAATGTTAGAATCAACATGAAAAAAAGGATTAGAGATCAAGTACATAAAAAAAAAAATGTTGTATCAATGCAGTGAGATTGACAACAGCTAAAGTAACACAAATTAGGGCACACATTTTTGAAAATTTAGAAGGGGCTTCGGTGCAGTGGATTGAACATCAGAATAAATATGCCATTCTTTTATCTACCCTAATTATCCAGGTGAAGGCTAGAAGTTTGTTTTATGACTTGAATGCTAAATGAGATTCTAAAGTGAGTTTTTTTTCTTGCCTGTGCTGTCTAGTACGAGTGTTTTAACTCTTTGAGTCCCAAGGAGCGTATCATACGTTCATAGGTTCCCTCCTAGAGGCCCAAAGAACGCAAGATGCGCCGATTTTACATCTCTTTTGACTACCCCTTGGGCCTCTGATGCTAAACCCCCTGGGACTCAAAGAGTTAAGGGACAAGATGGTTTCCGTAATCTAAAGCTAACAGATGAGGCTGCAGCCGGTGATGTTGTTGCCGTGGAGCAGTTTCCAGCTGTAATTGAGGAGTATTGTTATGTATCGCAGCAGTATTTTATTTTTGATGAAACAGGGTTGTTCTGAAAGCGTATGCCATATAGAACATATCTGTCGGTGGAAAAATAGAAATGAGAGCCCTGGAATGTAAAGCTTCCAAGAACCACCTGACATTATTGTTAGGAGAAAATTCGTCTGGTGATTATAAAAACAAACCTCCAGAAATCTAAGAGCACTCAAGGGTTACTCAAAAGAAGTGCTTCCTGTTATGTGGTAATATTACAGAAAAAAAAAAAGGCTTGGATAACAGGAGCTCTGCTTAAATCCTACTGTGAAGAGAAATATGACCTTTAAATTTCATTTGCTTCTGGACAATGTGGCATACATTCTCCTAGTATTGGGTGATATAGATGACAACAAGAGTTAATGTTTTTGCAACCAAACACAACATCTCTGATTCAGTTAATGGATCAGTGTGTTATTGCAAATTTTAAGAGCTATACCTGTGTAAAACATGTCCAAAGCTAGTTTGTGATGCTGATGGCAAGGATCAAAATTGCAGGGAAGAATTTTGAAAAACCTTCGGCATCGAAAGTACTATTGATAATATTGCTTATGCATGGACAGAAGTTATACAATCCCTATGTGAAAGGAGTTTTGAAGAAATCTGGCCTGAACTTTCTTGCTCCAGTGAGTTCAGTTATGAAAACAAGCTTTAAAATTCAAGACACAAAATCATTAACATAGTAAGATCTGTTAAGGATGAAGTCCAGGCCAGTGTGGACGAATTGCACCAATTTAATTTGTCAGAGCTCACCAGTGAAGATCTTCTTGAAATGTAAAATGACAGGGAGAATGATAAACTTGGGGAGTTTAGTGAATGATACAAACACTGACAGAGCTTTTACGGAGATTCAGAATTCATTATCCTGCTATAAGGAACTGTACAGCGAGAGAGGAAGAATGCTGCCTATTAGATGAATCTAGATAATTCTTTGACAACAGCTGGAAATCACTAACCTTGTATGTCAGGATAAGAGCTAGAAAGTAACCCTGACTTGTTTGAGCCAGTTTCTGTAACATCTGACTGAAGCCTATCAGCTTTTAACATATGTACCCTACATTTGTTGTTGTAATTCTATAGTTAATAAAGTCATTTTTCATTGTAAAGATTGAAATCTTAGTTATTTTCTTCATCAGTGTCTAATACACCACCAAGAACATAATTTGCAACAACATATAGACTCCTTACATCAAACATGAACAAAGTATAATATAAAAATAAACACCATGAAAACTGATGTAATGTGAAATGGCAGGAAACATAATAACATGAACATTCATGTCAATAGCACTGCAATCAAACTATTATCCAATTTCTTCATCGTCTTCGAGTTCACTAGCTGTAAAGTTCTGGTTGTTCGTCCACTTCTGGACTCTAGTCCAGAGTAGCTGATTATTGCATGCATATTCATTTTACAGATCTAACTAGTTTGTATACAGACTGTTGGTCCTTTGCCCCTCAGTCAGATAAACTCTGACCGAAAGAAGCTGCCAGTTAGTTAATTCGTATGACTTGCTTTTGGGTAAGCAGTGGGTCTGTTCTTGTTTTTCCCCAAAGTGGTGCCCTGGAACTCACACAGGGAATTAGAATTCAAATATTTAGGAAGCATATTTACAGAAGATGGCAGAATCGATAGAGAGATAGCAGCCAGAGTACAGAAGGCAAATGCTGTCACTTACCAGCTAGCCCAACTGCTTAAACACACAAAAGTCTCCCTTCCCCCCAAAAGAAAGATTAAATGTTTTTTTGTTTACACATGCACTGTCCCTTTATTTTTTAGCACACTTTCCACCAACATTCATGCACTTGTCCAATCATTTTATAAGTCCTCCCAAACCTGCTGCATAGAACTGCTTGTTCTTTTTTCAAAACCACATTTTCTGCATTATTCACAAAATGTCTTTCGCCAAGGTGGGTTTTTAATGAACCAAAAAAGTGGAAATTGTTAGGGGCTAAGTCAGGGATGTAAGATGGATGTTCCAAAAGTTCAGATGGTTAATTTTCTACTCAGTTAACCGAGCCATGTGTGGTCTGGTATTGTCAAGAAGGAACAGTACTCTTCAGCAGGCCTGGATGTTTTCTTCGAATTGCATCATGAAGCATCAATAAAACTTTACAGTATAAATTGGCTTTCACATTGTCACCTCTTTTTTTTTGACATTAGTTAAAAGCACTTCTGGACAATCCCAGAACACTGTCAGCATAACCTTTTCTGTTGATGGCGTAACCTTGTATTTTTGAATACAAGGAGAAGAAGGATGTTTCCATTGCACTGAAGCACGCTTGTGTCAGGCTGGTGGTAATGCAATCATGATTTGTCCCCAGTATTAATCCTGTTCAGTGTGTCTTCTCTTTTATCTGCATGTCGACAGAGATGCTGCAAGCGCAGGCCTAATTGGTTCATTTTGTGTTCATCCATCAATTGTCTGGGTACTCACCTTGAGCACATTTTCTAAGATTTCAATCGATCATGCATTATGTTGTATGCTGAACCATGTGAGCGCCCTATTGCAGCTGCTACAGTGAACCGTTACTTGCTGATCACCTCTAATCATCTCCTCCACCAACTGCACAGATACATCTGTTGCAGTCTCAACAGGATGACCAGACAAACTTCATCAACAATTTTAGAGCGTCCTTGAGAAATTTTTTTTAACCAGCTATGCACCACTTTACAGGAAAAACATTTGTTTGTCAGCATAAACAGGAAGCATTTCCTTATGAACGTCCTTTGCAGGCAGCCCTTTTGTCAAAATAAATAAATAAATAAGTTTTTTAACAACAATTTTGTTTCTGTGTTGTGAATGTGCTGGCAACACCTATCGCCACTTAGAAAACCGAGACATGAAGTTTGATGTTGCTGTCACCTAATGACACCTTTAGAAACCACCAACTGCATTTTCCTGCCATCTCATAACCATTTGTGACTTACTTATTGACTTCCTCTCGTAGCATCTTCATCCCTACTTTATGCTGTCAGTGCCAAACATGAACAAAAAAAGGGAACTAGAACAGAAAATAACTAAGTGTGAAATTCACGGTCTCTATAAGGTCACTAAAGCACAAGAAGGGACAGGGTTACAAATACCAGCGCTAGGGAGAAAGTTGGAACAAGACCACTTCTGAATTGTATTGATAGACAAAGAATGAAATGATTTAGAGAATGCAGCAGGACCAAACTGCATATAGGATTTTTTTTTACAGCAGAGAGGAAGACCAAGAAAAATATGGATAAATTGTGTAGCAGAAACCTGCTAAAAGATGACCAGATCCATCATCTAAGCTGCTGAAAAGTGCAAGACAAATACAATTTACCAGGACATTGGGATACAACCTGGTATTAGTGAGATGAGAAAAGAAGAAGTAGAAGAAGAAGAAATTATTTTCTTACTTTCAGACCACACCTATCCTTATGTAATGCATGTTAAAATCAGTTTGTGTGCTGTTCTTTGTTTGTTTTGTTCTTCTATGCTGTTAAACATGGTTATTTATACCTTACCAGGGCAAGTATATTGTCTGCTTTGATCCATTGGATGGTTCCTCAAACATTGACTGCTTAGTCTCCATCGGATCCATTTTTGGAATATACAGAACGGTAAAGGCACTGTGTTTTCTTTTTATTCTTAGTGTAAATTTTCAGCCTAGCCACTCCTCTTTTTGAGCAACATGAAGCAGTTACTATTAAATATTATAGAGTGAGGTTAATAGATTTAAAAATGGAGTTTAATGGAAGTTAAATAGATTATAATTAAATAGATTGGTTCAGTTAGAGTTCAGTTCAGAGGATGGATATGTTTATTGTTTAATTATCATCATCATCATAAACCACATCTGCTGTCAAGTGTCGTGTGGAGGAATAATTTGCAATGTTTAATTATGATGTACATTTTATGATGCCTGATTTGATCAATTTTCTGTCAAGTTTAGTTCTTTCATCTTACTAAAACACATCTCAAAAGCTTTCAAGTTCTTTTCATATCTGTTGTTTTGTCCATATTTCAGAGCAGTACAGGTTAGCTGTACATAATTCTTACTCATGTTATTATGCAGTTTAACTTTATTTAATACATGAAATCATTTCTTATGCTGCAACCATTTTAAGATAAGTTAATAAGAATTATATTCAACACGGAACAGTGTAAACGCTTTCTAGTCAAATTAGATAATTCTTGCTCCTTTGCATTTATAATCATTACTCATAATCCTTTTGGCCACAGTATTTCACAATGTCTGGAATAAAATTATAACTATAGTGTGTCATAATAATCGTAACACTGAATACACATCACCCTCACTTTCCTGCCCATTCCCATCAAACCTAATGAAAAAATGACCTAAACAAAATGAGCAAGAGCAGAAATGGATAGAACAAGCTAACTGATAAAATAACTAAAATAATAAGTACACAAACAATAAATTACACATTAATTCTTAACTTTTTACCCAGTATATTATTGTATTTTACTTAACCACATGATCCCTTAAATAATTAATTTGGCTGTAAATGTTGCAGTATAGAATCATTCAATCTGGATTTACGGTTAACTGTTAACATATTTTTTTTTTAAATTTGCAGGCAAATGAGGATTCGTGTTCAGTCAAAGATGTTCTTCAACAAGGCAAGAATATGGTTTGCGCTGGTTATGCTCTGTATGGCAGTGCTACTATGGTTGTTCTGTCACTTGGTCTTGGTCAGGGCGTGAATGGATTTATGTATGACCCGGTTAGTGCACAACTTTTTCTTTACTTAGTCGCTCCTCTTCTACCTTGGGGTGTAGAGGTTTGCCAGAGAGATCGCCAGACGTCTCTATCAGCAGTTTTCTTTCTGGCTTTGTTCCATTCCAGTCCTCTGTCAGTCAGGGACTGTCGGATGTTGTCTTCCCAGCGCACCCTGGGTCGTCCCGGAGGTCTGGTTCCCTGGTTCTTAGCCTCCCATGCTTGCCATGGTGGCCGATTTTCTCCCATTCTGCACACATGTCCAAACCATCGTAACTGTGACTGATCCACTCGGGTTAGTAAGGGCTGGGTATCAAGATCTTGACGTATTGTCTGATTGCGGACTTTGTCCCTTCTTGTCACTTGGACCACCTTTCTCAGGTATCTCATTTCCGAGGCCTGCAGCTGGCTTCTGTGAGCTGTTGTCATTGCCCATGACTCACACCCATAGGTCAGGACTGGTACATAGGTAGAGCGGTAAACAGCCATTTTCGTCCTCTTGCCAATTTCTCTTTTGCTAAGAAACCCTCGGTTTATGGCCTGGAAGAGTCTCCCAGCAGCTGCTTTTCGTGTAGCCAGCTCAGTCTTAATGCCTCCATTTTGGTCTAATACAACTCCAAGGTATTTGAACTGGTTAACCTGCTCCAACGCATACTGTCCCATCATGATCTGGTGTTTCTTCTCCTCTCTTGAGATCACCATGGTTTTAGTTTTGGAGACACTGATGGTCATCCCTTTCTTTTCAAGCTCTTCCTTCCAGACAAGTAAGTTGGACTGAAGGTGTGCCTCTGATTTAGCTATCAGGGCCACATCGTCTGCAAAAGCCAGCTCTGATATACAGATTGGTCTCATCTTCCAGTACCCTACAGAGTACTTCTTTGTCTTCTCCTTACAGGTCTTGATGACATCATCCATCATAAGAATGAAGAGGTAAGGTGAGAGAATATCACCTTGTCTAACACCGCTGGTGGTCTTAAATTCTTCTGACTTTTGGTCTGCTGTTCTTACATAATTTCTGCACTTTTTGTAGAAACTCTGTATTGCACTGATCAGGGGTGCTGGGATGTTTTTCCCTGCCAAGCAGTCCCAGAGCTTGTTCCAGGGTACCTTGTCAAATGCCTTTTCCAGATCCAAAAAACATAAGTGAATCTCACTCTTATATTCCAGGGCTTTTTCACTCATCTGTCTCAGTGTGAAGATAAGGTCTTGAGTACTTCGGTTTGCTCTGAAGCCGCACTGGGCCTCGTCCAGCTGTGGCTCTACCAGACTTCTAAGTCTCTGCTCAAGAATTCTAGAGTAACTTTTACCGGGAATGCTGAGGAGGGATATGCCTCTGTGGTTTTCACATTGTCTGTTATCACCTTTTTTAAATATAGGTATAATGATGGCAATCTCCCAATCTTTTGGTATAGTTTTGCTACACCAGGCTGCCTGGAGAACCTTCAGTAGAAGGCGCTCACCTTCGACTCCCATATATTTGACCATCTCTGGTGTTATACCATCATGACCTGCTGCTTTTCCCAGCTTAATCTTCTCAATAGCTGCCTTCAATTCTTCCATCCTGATGTTATCTTCCCCATGATTGAATTCCTTCTCAGCAGTGAGGTCCATTATTTCTGGGTCATGACTTCCCTCAGCGCCGAGGAGCTCTGAGAAGTATTCTTTCCATCTGCCCATGATATCATTTGTAGAAGTAAGCAGAGCCCCTTCCTTGTCTTTTATGAATTTAAGTGGGCACTCTTTCTCCTTCCTCATGTTCTTAAGGGTCTTGTAGAACAGTTTTTGGTTTTCTCTTGCATTCTTTTCCAACTTTTTTCCAAACTCTTCCCATGATTTCTGTTTTGCTTTAAGCACAATATTTTTGGTCTCTGTTCTGAGTGCCACATATTGTTTATATTTTTCTATTTCTTCAGCTGTGTTCCTGGCTGCCAGGTATTGCTTCCATGCCCTTTTCTTTTCTCCTATTTTCAATTTGACTTCTTCTGTCCACCAAGGTGTCCTGTGTCCCCGCCTTCCACTTGGGACTTCACCACATGCTTCTACTGCAGCTGCTGTGAGGATATTCTTGAATCTGCACCAGAGAGTTTCAGTGTCCTCTGATGATTCTTCTTCAGTTCCTATTGCTTTCACTATAAGCTCCTGGTATCTAGCCTTAATATCTGGCTCTCTTAGCTTGTATGCTTTAATCCTCATCCCTTCTTGGTTGCTTGGTTTCTTGCATAGTTGTCGGTGTTGCCTTGTTGGAGCAGTTCTTTCAGTTGTTCTCTTTATTGTGACCAGATAGTGGTCACTTCCAATCTCTGGTCCTCTCATGACTCTGGCATCTCTCACAAACTTGAATGAACTTTTCCTAACTATGGCGTAGTCAATGATGGATTTTTCATTCTTTAAAGGTTCACATCTTGTGTATGCATGTATACGCTTGTGGGGGAATTTTGTGTTTGTAATGACAAGGTTCTGTTCCCTGCAGAATCTGAGAAGTCGCTTGCCATTATCATTCAAAACATCTTCACCATATCTCCCGATCACTCCACCCCATCTAGAGTGATCATTTCCTACGCACAACTTTTTCATTTATGTTTAATTAGTTATTCTAGCACAGTATTAATATCGTATAAATGTCCTCTGGAATGTGTGTGAATTATAAACAGGTTTTCTATCTGTCGCAATTAATATTATTTAAAATCTTGTGTCAATTATCAAGGGTATTTGAAATATAGGACTGAGTTTGGTTATGTCCCTTGGTTAAAAAAAAACTTACAAACACACACACATGTATTAAAACACTTCAGTTTCAATATTTCATTGAGAAATGTAGTAATATTGGAAGCAATGACAACATAGTGGCCTATCACTCTTATGCGATAGTCCAGCAGTTATAGGTTCGAATCTCTTTCAAACAAATTGACCTGGACTCTCAGCTGACACACAACAAAGTAGATACCAGGATATCTCATAGGAACAAAGGCTGCCACCATAATACAAACAAGGTCACCAACCAAAAACCAGTTAGTCATTAGAAATATTAAGCTTGCACCTCACAACTAAAACACCTGGTCCATTACTTTGTGTTTTTTTTCCTATAAATATTTTTTTTAAAGCATGATGCTGGAATCGATTCTGTGCAGATTATGAGGATGTAGTTGCATATATTTGATTTTTCTTTTACATTTTTTCCTCTCCACTGGAACATGGGCCCTCAACTAACTCAGATCATCCTATTCTTTGCTGCTGCATGTATCTCACCAGGTGTCATCCACACCTTTTTAGCTTTTTTTTGTTAAGCTTTCTGAGATAACATCCAGACAGACCTGCAAACACTTGGTGTCACCTACTGGGAAGAGAAGGCCAACCAGAGAGATGAGTGGAGGCGGGTGATATCTGCAGCAATGAACATCAATGGCTCGAAACACTGAAGAAGAAGAAGTTGAGCTTTCTAGCTCCCTTCTTCAGATGTTTTTTGGTCTGCTTATATTTCAATGCCCCTGTGGGTTCCAGTGTAAAAGAAATTCAAGTCTTATTATTCTCAGGATTTCTCAGCATTATCCTGTCCGTTACTAGCATTTTTCCGTCACCGCTTGATTCACTGAAATTTATTAAGTACTCTCCCAAAACTCCACATTAGTAATCCTATCTTACTATTGTCTTTGATATTCAGACTTTGATAACCATTCATATTGTCTCTAATCACTTGTTGAAAATATTCAAATTTTTATTGTGGCAGTAGTACAAACAATCCACTCATCTCCTTTTGAGATGCAATTTTTGTTTATTTGAAGCCCTACTCTGGCTCTTGCCAGTTTCCGCAATATAGCCCGACCATAAATATGGTCTTATGGCTGAAAGAAAGAAAGAAAAAAAAAGAAAGAAAGAAAAAAAAGAAATTATAAAAGAAATACTAAACTAACAATTTTTAATTCTCATGTCAAATCAGTACTATTGTATGGGGCCGAAACATGGAGAACAACCAAGGCAATTACTAATAAATTACAGGCATTCATTAACTGGTACCTGCGCAGAATAGAGGGAATTAAATGATATGATATAATAACTAATATAGAAATTTGGGAGAGAACTAAACAGGCTCCAGTGGACCAAGAGGTGAGGAAAAGACGCTGGCCTTGGATAGGACACACACTGAGAAAACAGGAGAGCAGCATAACTAGAATGTCTTTGCATTGGAACCCACAGGGGCATAGGAATAAAGGAAGGCCAAAAAACACATGGAGAAGAGAGCTGGAGAATAAAGTTAGAAAGATGGGGAGGACATGGAGGGAGCTGCATGCAATGGCGAAGGATAGAACGACTTGTCGTGAGTTGGTTGAAGGGGCCTATGCTCCATTGGGGGATAGAAAGGCAGAAGACTGGCTAAACGCAGTTTTTGGGACCTCTCCACGGTGATCCTTATCCACATGGTGGGACTTTGTGTCATCAGATGTTTATCGCTTGTGTGATGTCCTGGTGCTGTAAAAATCTACTACTACTACTGTTGTACCAGTATCAAAGTGATGGTTCCCATTTAAAATCTGCCCCAATATGGGATGCCATTTTTATTTTGTTTTTCTAAAGCCCGACTGTTGTAAAGGTCCTTAATATAACCTACGGGTTGAACAGGGATTCTGGGACTTGTCCTTGTGCAGTTCTCATCCGAATGATCCTACGTTTTGTCACAGGGTGTTTATTGCTCGTCGTGCAGTCATAGTGGGGTTAAACTTTAGTCTGTGCCAGTTAATACTGTTTGTCTTTCTTTATGTGTACTTAATTTGTAGAAAATGAAATGCCATGAATATGATCTTTTTCAGTCCATTGGAGAGTTCCTGTTAACTGAAAGAAACATGCAAATAAAACCTCGTGGCAAGATATACTCTCTGAATGAAGGCTATGAGATGCATTGGGATGATGCAACCAGGGAATATGTTAACAGCAAGAAGAGACCAAAGGTATTTTGTGATATTCTGAGTCATGTCCATAAGTAACAGATACAAATATAAGCACTTTAGATGAAATAATGTTCAGGTACAGTAAAACCTTGTTAAAACAACATGTTTAAGGAAAAAACCCAAGTCATAATCAATGTGAGATCAGAGTTACAAGGCATTACAACTGACCTTCTTTTATGGCTCATGGATTTATATCTTTCAAATACTAGTATTCTGTTCCATTGATATTTAAAAATTGTTTCTGACAGGATGGGAAGCCATATGGAGCTCGATATATTGGATCTATGGTGGCTGATGTCCACAGGACAATATGTTATGGTGGAATTTTTATGTACCCTGCAACTTCTGAAGCCCCAAAGGGCAAGGTAAGCTTACACAAACTGATGTTGAATTGTTTACAATATTCAGTATTAAGTTTGTTAGCTAAGAGATTTCTGTATATCTGACTGTAACATGGATTATGTAGTAAAATTATATCATTTTATTTGTTTAGAGCCCTCTTTATTTAAAAAAGAAAAAAGCTGTATATTACTTTTTGTTTATTTTCCTTACCAGTGGAAGAAAAACAGTTCTTCTTAGCATTCACTGGCTGTAAATCCTGGTGGAAAGCTCTGTTATTCATCCACTCTTGGACTTTGGTTTTAATCCAGAACTTGACTTTTACATGCACATCTGTTTTACAGATGTGGTTTATTTGTATGCAGACTGTTTCTACCCTGCCCCTCTTGCAGATGCTCTCCGACTTTGAAGTAATCATTCCTAATTATTCGCCTCCTGCGACATGCTTATTAGGTTTTTGTGTGTGTGTGTGTGTGTGTGTGTGCGTGCGTGCGTGCGTGCGTGTGTGTGTGTGTGTGTGTGTGGTGAGGGGTGGGGGGGGGGGGGGGGGGGGGGGGGGGGGGGGGAATGGATGGGAGGGGAGGGGAGTGGATCTGTTTTTTGTTCTCCAGAATAGAGCCCCGGAACCCAGATGGAGAGAAAAACGATGAAAAATAAATTTGTTCTAGATTGGAAACTGTTTAATGACACCTGATAGCATCAAGAGATGAATGAACCATAGTCTGAAAGAGCATACAGCCAGGGTGAAAAAAAGTGTTCGAGATCAGTAAAGCCAACCTTTCACTGAAAAGACAGCACATGCTTGACTGAATGATAATATTTAAAAAAAAATGGTTTATTGAATTATTTGACAGTAAAAGCAGTATCTAATTTTAAACATTGTTGCATTGTAATGACATAATGGCCAGATATTTCATATCAGCTGATATATTAAGTTATATGCAGAAAGATGAAAACTGTCTTTAAAAAAAAACACTGGTGATGCAGATATAGACATTCAGTACAGAATAAATTTGTATTTTCATAAGCTGCATATTACTTTTGTGTGTTCGTATTTGTATGGAAGAAACTTATTATATAGTAATATATAAAGGCAGAGAACCCTTTTAAGATAACATCTGGTTTAAAGCAAGATGATGCTGTGTCCCCACTTCTTTTCTACTTGGCCCTAGAGAAAATTATAAGGAAATAGGAAAAGAGAGTATACTATAGGAGAGACTACAAGAATACTTAGTTATGCAGATGACATTGATGTCATTGAAAAAAATAAACTAGAGACTGTAAAAACACAGACTTTCTTCAAAGAAGCAGCTCACAGTGTGACTAGTTGTCAGTCAGAATAATAAAGAATACGTGATAATAACAAGACAGAGAAAGGATATAAACTACAGGCACATACAAGTTGATAATATGAAAATCAAACGATGGAAACACATAAGTATTTGGTTGCAAACATCAACTGCTCCAACATGCTGAGAGGTGAAATACAATCTAGAATAAAATCTGGAAATAAAGTGTACTATGCCCTTCAACATCTGCTAAAGTCAAAGTCTTTATCCCGCAACGTCAAGATCAAAATATTTAAAACAATGATAAGACCAGTCATTTTTAAGGCTATGAAACTTGGAGCATAATTAAAAGAGATGAAGCCTTATTAAAAATTTTCAAAAACAAAGACTTATGAAAAATCTTTGAACCCATCAAAGTTGCAAACAATGGAGAATGGAGAGTGAGAAGCACTATGAAATTCATAATCTGTTTAAATCACCACTGAATACTGGCATTATGAGAGCTAAAATACTGAACTGGCTGGGGCATATTGAGAGAATGTCAGATGACTGGGTAGTAAAAACTGTTTCCACAAGAAAGATAAATGGTCGTAGACCACGAGGCAGACCAAGAAGATGATGGAGAGATAATGTCCAGACAGACCTGCTAACACTTGGTGTCACGAACTGAAAACAGAAGGCTAACCAGAGAGATGAATGGAGGTTGGTGATATGTGCGGCAATGAACATCAAGGGTTCGGAATGCTGAAAAAGAAGAAGATATCTGTTTCAAAAATAGCGTGCAACAGCTATTTCTGCACTTTGAGTTTTGTTATCCAACTTCAGAATGCATTTACGTAAGGTTAACTTCTTGTAAACAGATATCATTGAAGGTTGAATTTCTTTGCTAAAAGTTTTTGAGTGTAATAACTATGTGGTATATGCTTTTACAGTTGCATAGGGTTATATTTAATGTGCACAACTTTCGCACAAGGCCTCATGTTCTTCCCCCGGCCCTTACCTGAGAAAGCAAGCTGTCTGATCTCACTACATCTGATATGAACATGCTGTAGAAACATGGCCAATGATTTTAACATGTCATGCAGTATACCTTTTATGCAATATATATACATATAAATATATATATGCGTGTGTGTGTGTGTGTGTGTGTGCGTGTGCGTGCGTGTGTGTGGGTGAAGGAGGGGTGGGTGGGTAGAGATCTTTGACCAGTAGGGTTTTGTCCTCATTAGGCATCTTCTGCAAAATTGTCTGGGACTGAAAGAGTTCAGATTTGCAACAATTTTTCTTTAGAATAGCAATTATAGAAATTGTTTGCTTTTGGTAACCCGTGGACTATTAAAATACTGTTTTGATTTTCTTCTCAAGCTTCGGCTGATGTATGAAGGCAACCCAATGGCCTACATTGTAGAGCAAGCTGGTGGATTGGCAATTGACGGGAAGCAGCGAATTTTAGATATTGTTCCAAAGGATATCCATGAGAGATGTGCCGTCTTCATGGGCTCTAAGGAGGATGTCCAAGATGTGTGGGACATTTACAAAAAATATTCATCATAAAGATGTTCACTTTATTTGTTTGCAGTGTAATATTTTTTAATATTTAAACCTGTGTGCACAGACTGTTTACTAAATATAATAAAAATTTTTGCTTTGCTTCACAATAAAAATGAAAACGTATTTTAAATTATGTTATTTTAAATTTCAACATCACTGCTGATTTGGAAAATAAATAATTTGACTAAAACATTTAAATATGATAAATTATATTTTTGGGTTGCTTTCTTTTATTCTCTCACATTGCATATTATACGTTTTCTTTACATATGCAATTTGTAAGTTTTGACTGGCAGATTTAAACTATTACCTGGTTGTTAATAACAGATTATTGATACCAGAGGTCATTTAATAATCCCAGTCTAATAATGTAATGACACAATGCCATCAAACAGTGGTGGATGTGTGTGTATGTGTGTGTGTATGTGTGTGTGTTTGTGTGTGTGGTGGGGGGGGGGGGGGCTGTGTCACAGTAAAAATACGTATATATGTCAGCACCACACCATGATTTACCAAATGTAAAGTGATCTTTTTTTTAGTGGTTGTTTCTAATCAATATGTAGTATGTGAGATATTTGACTCTTTAAGTGATGGGAGAATGGATATGTGTGGGATTTGTCAAGAAGTTTGTCAGCAAGTGGAACAGTGACTATACTTTTTCAGTTGTAGTGACTGCCAGGCAAGAATAGATATAAATTAATAGGTGTTAATATGTTAATCCTTGTTGTATAACATAGAATCCAGTTTACTTACTTGACTTTTTAAACTGATGCCAAGAAGCTAGGGTTAAAAAAATGTATGACAGATAACAAATCTTTATTAACTAATAAGACTATACCTGACTTTGACACATTAAAAAAAAAAAAGACATCCAAACCAGGACAGTTTTAATCTAGTATCTGACATGAATTGTCAAACCACATTAATTCGTGTTTTGATGTGTGTGCAAGTCATTGTAAAGAATTACAAAACAAGCACAGAAATGGGAAAAAGAGGATGTCCAAGGGAAACATTAAGAAGAACGTTTTTATGAGAGGCTAAAAATTCTGGGGTGAACTCCATGTCACAAATCGAGTGTTGCATGCAATAGAGCGGAGTGAAGAAATCAAATGTGAGCCCTATGTGACATCTAATGGTATACAAAGGATGATGATGATGTTGAAGTCATTGTACAAAAAAAAAAAAATAGTCACAGCCAACTATAGTACTCTCATTTATCAAATTATTATTCTCCTGACAGTTTCTGGAGATCATATTTGCCAATCATATTTACAGAGATCTCCAGGAGACATATTTCATATTGTTATTGAGTTTATTAATATTTCTCTAAAATTCATTTGAATAATTATAGGGGATATTTGCTGCATTCCATTTTATATTACCTGGCACATGACCTAGCAAACATAATGAGATGACAGTATGAAAATGTAAGGTGCCAACTTGCAAATAATTAATTCCTTAAATTGTATCCTGGTTCAGAATACAGTAAAAATGTGTTCCTTGTTCATGAGCTGTATAATGCTAATCAAAGCAGTTTATAAATGTTCTGAAAGATTTTATATTTATTTTAACACATTTAAAATCTGTTAATAAATAAATGTAATTAAATATAGATCCATATATTTTGTTCACCTTGATCTGGAAATGATCTTTTCTAGACTGCTGATGGTGAATATTATTTGTTATCTCTGGTGCCAATACTTGTTTTTATACATACAACCATACACATTTTCTTATCTACTTAACTCTTCCAGTCCTATGAGTATTAACAGCATATTCCCACATAGGCAGAAAGAACCATAAGAAAAAACATATGTATATTAGATTCAAGGATGGAATAGATACTAACGGGTCATATTAAAATATCTTTCTTTTGTACATTAAAGCCAATCTTAACCCTACCAGACCTAAGGCCCTGAACCTAACTGTCCCTATAACCTGAGCTCCTGGGCATTACCGCGAAAAAACCAACTTGATAAACAAAAATATTAGTTACATGCAAACGAGTGGCTAGAATATGATGAAACTTGGAGACATTGTAGAAAATAGGCTTACCTTTTATCTAGCGCCAATATTCCACCTTTGTTTGCGAATTCACTCATCAGGATCAACTTTGTTTCACAAAATGAACACCAGATGTTGCCGTTTGATGGACACACCCCCTCCTCCTACTATCGATCTATTTCAAGATTGATAATTTTCAAGATTTTCCTCATCATTTGCGCTCTCACTGACAGTGTTATTTCAAGAACGTATTCTTTATGAAATTATCACAGATAATGAATATATATATATATATATATATATATCACAGAGTCTGAATAAACCAAAGTATCGATCACCTGTTGGACTGTGAAAAGCCTAGAACTTGGTTCATCAGCCGCTCGCTTCATTCTGAATTTCCCGAATTATTTCACGTTAAAACACACACATGGGGAAGCCATTTGCAATCTCTAACAAAGCGGACTGACGACGATTGGTTGGTTATTTTTAGTCAGTGACACATCTTTTTCACTCACTATGCAAATAGCCGAAATTTAGGGCCAGCGGTATACAGAACAGTTATGAAATTCCTGGAAAAACGGGAGAGCGGTCTGGTAGGGTTAAAGAATACATGATTATATAGATTGATGCTTAATGCACATGGACTGTAACTTCTCACACATGGTAAGTATCGTGGGACTGAAAGAGTTAAGTCACCATTAATTACTGGCACCTTGAGAGCCTGTAGACAGCAATGGCTGAGGGGTAAAAAGAGAAGGATAGATAACAGAGGCAAAAATTGAGTACACAAAGGAGTTGATTAGGTGTAGACCATGAAGCAGATCAAGAAGACAGGGGAGAGATAACATTCACATAAACCTACATACACTTGGAGTCACTAAATGAAAAGATCATGCCAAACACAGAGACGATGGAGGCAAGTAATGTTTGCAGATAAGAACCTCAAAGGTTTCGAAGGCTGAATAAAGAAGATACACACACCCATAAACTTATATGCACACATGCATTTACTACCATGTACATTTTTTGTTTCAAAATAAAGCGGGTAGTTTAGTAATGGAAGCTGCATAATATACTTTAACAAAAGAAAAAAAAAAAAAACATAAGAGGTTTACTACAGCCAGAATGGCCAACTGAAAACATAAATTGCTGAATGTATGATCTACTGTCATTATTAGGAGGAGCAAATAAACACTAGAATATTAGTTGATCCACAGACAAATGTCTTTGGAAGTGTCATTCCATATGCTGCAATAAACAGTGCTACAGTAAAATCTTTTTATCAATAACCTCAGGAGTCTGTCTCCCCCCCCCCCCCCCCCCCCCCACAAACGGTAATAAAAAGTCAATAAATTAGTGAATTCTTTATTGAAAATGTCTAGGATAAGGTGAGTTAAACAAATATGAAAATGAACAGTTTGAATAGAAAACATGTTTACACTTTCATGTGTGAAAATTTTGTTTCCAATTGAGAATTTGTAAGTAAGAACAATGCCTATAGTGTCTAAATTTAGCTGTTTATTACCTCACATTTTTTTTTTCAAACTGCATAGATCTGTTATTTGTGACATTGTGTCCACATCCTTCTGTCTCATGTACAGCCAATCATTTCTTATACACACTTGCCTCCATGTCATGATGCCAGACTCTACAACATCCTGTCTATTGAATTATTAAACTCCTTGTGTTGGTTACGGGGCCCACTGCCGACTAATAAGCATGTTATAACAGATGACTAATTAGGAGTCTTTCATGTGAAGTTGGAGTACGTTTGCCAGAGAGGTGAGGAACCAACAGTCTGCATAAGATAAGCAAAATCTGTAAAATGACTAATAACAAGACTAAAGTCCAGAAGTGGACGATCAGCCAGAACTTTCTGATTGAATATACAGCCAGTAGTGAATGCTGAGAAGAAAAAAAAAAGATTAATAATCTAAAGTTAGGTTTCATTTAGTCATGGACAACAACAAAAATCAGTGGTTAATATTTTATGACCCATTTGGGACCACTGCTTTCTGTGATTAAGTGTGTTTTTGCATTAACTGTTATACCAAAATAAAACAGTCCAGTATTTCATGAAAAGAGAAATATTTGTGAGAAGTATATGAACTGGGATATGCTTTTCAAATAGCAGAAATGTCATTTTTATTAAATGGTCAGCTTCACAAAGTGGATGTAACATGCATAATATGTTTTTCCTTTATTACTACCGTAATTAAATTATATTATTTGATGCAAAATAGAGAAACATTTATTATTATCTGTGGACAAGAATATGTTTAGGTTGCAAAAATTTTATTTTGATTGTGTTTATTAAAAAAACCATTGCATAAATATTTCTATTCATGAGGATACATGATGGTCTTTGTGCAGATAAGTGAGCTTTAATTTACTGTAAACTTAACTCATCATCAAGTGCTTGGCCAGCTGGCTAAGGCGCTCATGCGTCACCACAGATCTTGGTCTTTGGTGTTCTGGATCAATTCTACTGATGATAGATATTTCTCCATGCCACTGTCTTAAGCCATCCACCATCATTTCTCTTGGTCTGCCTCTGCCTCTTCTACCAGTGATCTTTCCAGTCATCATGATATTTTCCAGTGCTCCTTTTCTCATGACATGACCAAATAACTTTGTTTGTCTTCTTTTCATTGTTGTAAATAATTTTCTACTTTCATTAGCCATTTCCAGGCTTTCACTGTTGGTTATTCTGGCAGTCAAAGGGCTTCTCACCATTATTCTCAAGAACCGCATCTCAGTTGCCTCCAAACTCTTCTTAATTTGTTTGCCCACATTCCAAGATTCACTACCATTCAACAGAACAGGCTCTATATAAGATTTCAATACTCGTTTTCTGATGTTTAATGAAAGTGATTTATTACATAAAATACTTTTCATCTTCTGAAAATCTGCCTTTGCCTGGCCAGTCCTGTTCTTAATTTCTGTCACACATCATCCATCTGATGTTACGAATGTTCCCAAATACTTTAATTTATTGA